CATACATACATACATACATACATACATACATACATACATACATACATACATGTGTGTAGCAATCTGTTAATCATCCTTCAAAGTTTTCAGAAGTAGTTTCTGTTTAGTTCTGTGGAGACCTCCTCAGTACTGAACTCAACTCTTGTCCTAAGTCTCATCTGGGCCCATCAACAGCCATTTCCACGTTTTGAAATTATACAGAAATCTTCTTCTAGTTCCTACGACCTGTTGATTACAAATGTCACTGATTCTGATAAAAGCTACTACTACTGTAGAACTAATAAGAAGAAAGAGGGAAAAAATGGAAAGAGAGACAGGTACAGCAACGTCACAACAAGGCTCACAATCAGTATGTACGTTTTCCCTAAATGAACTACCCTGTACTTTTACCAGGTTTACCTGTATACTGTACTTAACACTGTATAATACTTTGTCCAGATATGAAAACATGATGTTGGCAAAATATTGTGTGTAAAACTTTCAATGGACCAAAATAAAAATCCATTCTTGCTCCTGTTTTAAAACTTGTCTCTTGAAAAAAAACTATGCTTGTGGAAAGAGCACAAAAATCTCTCATACACATTAATACCATATCAATGTACTAAGGAGAAACCGAAAAAAACTTACAGATTACACTAGGAGATATTTACAGGTACAGCAACATACCAACAAGGGTCACCATCAGTAAGTCATTTTTAAATGTTATTTCACTATCTTAATGTGCAATGAATTGAACCATCTAATAATATTCTCACAGTTCATCTCCACCATTCTTACTTTCCATTTTCCTCCTAAATAAATCATTGTGCTTGGTTTGAGTATTTTCAGGTTTTTCACTCCTAAACCTTACTAAATTTCTTATGTCGAGAGACTTATCGCAAAGATAATTTCTTTTGTGCATTCGGGTGTTGTTTTTTTGTTAAATTTTATTTTTACAACAATTGTATAAAATGAAGTCCCATGCTATGATAACATACCCCCTGATGGAAGTCAAGCAAAGTGTGCTGAACTAACCAGAGAATCTAGCGTCTTTCTATAGTCCTGCATCTCCAATTTCCACACCGTTGATCACCGTCAAACAGTTTTTCCACAATCAAATTGCCTTTTAGGATGAAGATGACTGTTTAAGAAGAGTTGTGTTCCGACCTAGAAGACTAAAAGTTCAGCGCACAGTTACAGGTTTGTGGTTTAAAGGAGAATTGTCTTTTTTTTTTTGGTCAGGTTTGGGAACTCAAAGCAGGACTCGGGCGCAGAGAGGTGGTACAAAAAAAAGGTTTTATTGAACCAAAAGCGCACTCTCAAAGAGTGGAAACAAAGTACAAAAACAAGATTAACAAGACTGTGAACAAAGTATCAAAATATAATCACTCTAATGAGGAAGACAAGGCTGTGAACAAAGTATCAAATGAAGCAAACAAGACTATGAGCTAAGTATTAAATCAAAATCACTTAAGAACGAGGACAAAAAGGGCAAGGCACAAAGTAACAAAATAATACTCACTAGGATGAAAAAAACACTAGGAGAAATCACTCATGAGAGGCAAAATGGGATCAAGGCAAGGACTATGATTCTAGGACTAGAAGGCTGCACAGTTAGGTCGTAGGACAGAACACACTGGCACAAGACAAAGGGAAAGGAGGACGATTTAAACACATGAGGGAAGGGAACCCCAGGTGTACACAATAGGTAATCAAGGAAGACAAGCATACATGTGACACACAGGGCCTAAAACGAGGGGATATATCTTTCAAAATAAAACAGGAAATGACAAGACGACCATGGAGGCAGGACAAAACACCAAAAATTTCCCCATACCTGACACTTTTAATTATTTCCATAGTGTGTTGGTACTCTTTTGTGATGAGTAGTTGACTGCTGACTGACTGCTCTTCCTCTCTGCAGCCTCTTTAAATATGCTCTCTCCTCTGCCATCATGGTTTAGTTCCAGTTAAGTTGGTCATATTGTTTTTGTAATTCATTCAAAAAATTAAATTCAAGCTCCAACAGATGTATACAATTGCTGGCATTTAATTTTTCCCATCAACTGTGACATATTTAACTTTCTGTGATATTAAAGCGTTGAACTTTGTTGATGTATGCAAGGATTATTCATTTCTAAAAGGTTAGATGCTGGGTAACATTCCAGATTCCTAGAATCTGCTGTACTTTTTGGAACACGTTAGAGGAACTTTTGATAATACATATCAATGAAATTAATATCATATAGTTTGTATTGACTCTGCTCTGATATTCTATTATTTCATTCTTGTTTCAGTGGTTAAAATTGTACCGAAGTGGGAAAAGCACATCTCTGTGCCAAACGACTCCATTTCCATGACTCCAATCACCAAGATATACTGTAACTATCTTTTAAGATGCTGTACTCACCGTCTCAGCTATACTCATGTAAGCATATTTTAAGCATATTTATATTGGATACATTTGCTTTTCTTAGGTGTACAAATCTACATATGGCTTCAATGCATCAGTGTTGAACGCAAAAAAAAAAACATTGGTCATTTGCGAAGCTTCATATTTAGAAGAGGTTGCTAAGTTTTATGTAATGTTTTCTCCTTGATCTTCAAAGCTCAGCCTTACTTAATCTTTAGCCCAATGCTCAAAGTGATGCAAAAAAAACAAAAAAGAAACACCCACGGGGGAAAATTCTGTTTAACCAGCCAATCAAAAGCAACCTCTCCTTGAATAGAAAAGACTGCATCACAACGTCTGGTTGTGAAACCTGTGCTCCATGTCACCATGGATGGACTTCACATCAGCGTTGTTATTCTGCTGGGTAATTTGACATTTTTGGGGGGATCAAACTGTAATTTTACCACTATTGTTGCACTGGCTGGTGTTGTAGTTCTTTTTTGCAAAAACATCACTTTTTGTTCATTTTTCATTTCAGGAGTTTTTTCCAGCAGTTATGGTCAGACTTTTGTGTCAGAAAAGGAGGTGACAGCAAACCCTGGAGACAATGTAACCCTTCACTGTGATTGTAAATTGTCAACAGGTGTACTCACAGTGTGGTTCAGGAACTGTTCCCATGAGAACCAGCCAACATTTGTTCTTAAAAAATTTTTTCATTCTTTCAAGGACCATTTCTTTCCCTCTCGATTTGACTTTGTAAAGAACCTTTCCTCTAACTCTTATGACCTGCTGATCACAAATGTCTCTCATTCTGATGAAGGCATTTACTACTGTGGAAATTATCAAATGAAAGTGGAGCTAAAAGAAAAGATTACTGGGAAATATACTTACACATTCAGCAACAAGACAACGAGACTCACCATCAGTAAGTACTTTTGTCTAAATTAACTACCGGTGACTAATCATATTTTCCCATGTAATTTTAATCATATATTACAATGCCTGCCATAATAATCATCTAAATCATTGTTACAGAGTTTTGAAGCTATTATTATCATGTGTAAAACCCTTAATGGGAAAAGAATCCATGAAAAGATCTGTTAGATTTTAACTGTTGTTTGAACACTGTAGACTAATTCAATTCGCAAATATTATACATTGGATTTTAAAATTATGGACGTAACTGCTTTCGATGAGGACATTTACTACTATGGAACTGAAAAGATGAAGGTGGAGGAAGAACAAAAACAAGTTTGACCCAGGCATATTTACACTTATAGCAATGTTTCAATGAAGCTTGTGTTAGGTGAGTACTTCGGTCACATACGAGAATGTGATTGCAGCAATAGCAAATAACATTTATTCAAATTAATAAATACAAGCGGGCACCACTCTTTCTGTGATTCTAAATTCATATTAAGATTATTGCACATGGCAATTAAGTTCCGTCTGATATCCATATCCAGTTATTATTTGAAATACCAAATTCTGAAATCCACTACAAAACCACTCTCTCATTCCAAAGAAGTAATCAGCCACACGTTTTAACCTGAAATCTGTCTCTTGATAATGAACAGAGGCCAAACTATTGTTAACTACAGTGATATATTTTGGATTTGTTAGTTTGTATGTGGCATCCATCAGTTTTTTTGCCGTATGAACGCAATACCCTCAAATCAGTTTACTGAGTTTTGCTGAGGTTTAACATTTGAGGCTCAAGAAAAACAAATATAAAAATCAATTAAACACTGCAGGCAACTTGCAGAATAATGTTTGTGGATCTAATTTAGAGATTTACACCCAGATCACATCCAAAGCAGACTTTAAGTAATTATTCACAGGCTATATCAGGCCGCCAATTGTCTGTTGATTATGAGGGGGTCGGTTTGGGGCAAAAATCACAATACGCATATTCTCAGCAGAATAGAAACATGTAAAAAATACAAACTTTTAATGTTTTATTCCTGCATAAAATCTAATTCTGCCAACATCTCATCAGATTACGTAAGATAATATCTCTTGAGTAACTGACATCCAGTTGAATAAGGCAGCTGTAAATGTGGATACGATTGTCTGTTATACTTTTACAACTAACAAGACTTTGCATTTCAGTATTTACAACATGTCTGGTTTCTATCCAGGATCCGATCCAAACTGGACTCTGCAGGATTGCAGCCTCTGCTGGACGTTACTCTTGTCTTTGTGTCCAGCTGTTTCTGTCGTCTCGGCGCTCCTCTCTCTTTTAGTTTGCCGGCTTTGCCAGGAAACAGGTACCTGTTTTAAACACTTGTCTCTTCCTGTGATCGCTCCTGCTTGGCATGTTGTGACTGGCGTCACGGTGTCGTAAATCACTGGAATTTTCATTTTCCCAGCTACTAAACCTCGAAATGACGAAAAAAGACGCGGCATGATCAGTCCAACAAGAGGAGCACAGGTGAGTGACAGAAGTGCGTCTGTGGTGGTTTGTACCAGATGGATAGAGTTTGCTCATCATGTGATGTATGTCATCAGTATGTCTTTCTAACTCATTAACTCATTAAATCATCTATTCATAACTCTCAATTCACAGGACCAAGACATGTGTTGTGCTGCCCTGGAAATCCATCAAGCCTCACAATGGATGAGAAAAAGTCCAAGGTCCGATTTCTCCACATATTCTGCCATCAAATACACCCTGGTTGTGGACGATTTGCATTTCGATTGAGATGCAGGGACACATTAATTAGAAATGCCGGCTTTCTTTCGCTCAAGCATACCAATCGGAAGAGAAATGTTTACCCTATTCTTTCACAATTGTAGAGGTTTTCAGGCTAAATTTGATACAATAATATTTGTTTCTGCTTCTTTTGCGAGGAGACAAATTAAATCATGAAGAATAAAAAATATTAAGATTGTCATTGGGAAAGACTTAATTGGTTGTTGTTGCTTCTTGCTGTTGAGAGGTTTTGATTTTGGTGAATTTTCTTTTTGTGAATAAATGATCCCACTTTCAAATCTTGCGACTTTCTTTTATTCCTATTTCTACAACAAACAAAAAAACGTGTAATATCTGCTTTGCTTCTTTCACTTAAGTACCTGATAAAAGATTTGTGTTGTTCAGACTTTAAGAAGATGGTTGTGCACTTTGGCAATTTCCTGTTGTTCTTATCTTAAGAATAAACCGCACTAGCATTGGGGCCTGGTTTTGAAACAGTGACAGGACAATTGTCTGCTGCAAGGCCTTGACCACATTTTGTTGGCCCCATTTAAAACAGGAAAACCACACCAGCTGCAGTCATGTGACTGCCTGCTAGGATGATCATTTCAAGATGCCAAATAGCGCCATTTTTGTTAAAGCCCCTGCCATTTTTGACAACGCAAACACTGTCAATCTGCTCTCCTGACATCTGCTGATGTCAGTTTATATCATTTTTGTTCTGCGGCGAGTGACAAGTTCTCATTTTAGGAACTAAATCTGTCTGGTGAGGTTTATTGCGGTAGTTATTAAGATCCATTGTGTTGGCGCTTGTTTTACCGGGTAAATCGAAACGAACATATATCATCCCACCCTGACAAATAACATGAACATGTCCTCTTGTGAAAGACACAGAGACATGAACAGTTTTGGCAACACATGCCATCAAATCCCATCCCAGTAGGTCTGTTAACCAACCATTTCTCTGCACTGAATCTCCGTGCTTGTTCCTGGTAAGTTAGTCTTAACAAAGGATTTGAGATTTCTTTGAAGGCACTCTAAAAGTTTGGGGAATTTTCCAGTTTCACTTTTTTCCCTTCTTAGATTGTTACTTATTTGTATTGAATATGAATGGAAACATCCACTTATTGCTGTGTATGATGATTTTGTACATCAAAGTGGAAAAAATACCACTAATGACTCACTATTTATCTTTTAAAGTTGTTTCAGCAATACAAATTCAGATTTAACTTAATGTTGACCATACATGAATAAAGTCAAATTCTTTGATAGAAATTGTTTGAGCAGTTTGACATTAAGGCTGTTGATAAGGTCTAAGGAGGCCACAATCAGTGTCTTTGCTGGTGTTGTGTCACGCCCCACAAAGATTGAGTTCAGACACCAGAAGTAGAGAGCAAGCAGGACCCTCAGAGGGTTCAATTGTTATTTTTCTAAGAGTTAACTGCCGTTGTAAACTCACTATCAAATATAAAATCTTGACCTTTCAAGTGACAAAATTTATACAGAACACTTCTTCTAGTTCCTACGACCTGCTGATTACAAATGTCGCTGATAATAATGAAGGAGTTTGCTACTGTGGAACTATTGAGAAGAAAACGGAAAAAATTGAAAAGATTACACCAGGAGATGGTTGCAGGTGCAACATCACAACAAGGCTCACCATCAGTAAGTACCGTTTCTATTTTCTGTTACTATCTTGTGCAATGATTTGAACCATCTACTAATACAAGGTGGCGTGCTGTGCTTAACATTCTATTTCATCCCAGTTCTGGTAAACGTTTTCATTTTAACCCTCTAACATGCCACACATTTTTTACTGATTATCCTCAGTCATAGGTTATACTAACTAGAGGAAGTGCAGTGAACTAAGTTGGCTCTTGAACTAAGTTTAGCTATGTGATGCCTAATTGAAGCAATTTTTTAATCTTTCTTAAAGTGTCATCCAAATTATCTGTGAAAAAAAGCATTATTTCTGGTTGTTATTGCTCTGAAGAAATTAAGTAGCTGTTTTCCCGTGCTTTTTTCAAAAGCTTTTTTATGTCGGCCGACCACAGAAGTTTTTGTTTAGTTTTTCAGTTTTTTCAATCCGCCTCTGCTTTTATTGTCCCCCCACCTTCATTTATTTTTTTCTGAAATTTGTCTTCCACTCACTATGAAGGGCAAGGACAGCCACATGTCACTGGTGAGGTCTACACATTTACAGGAAACGTGCTCTACCTTGAAAGCCAGCGGGTCAAGGGGAGGGTCGGGCCTACAGAAAGCGCAAAACCACAACATGTTTCCTGTCGTATAGGTAAGAGGCTCTCAGAATAGTCATTCCTCCCAGCTACTCGCAAAAAAGACTTCAAGACCTGTTGAAGTGCTCTTTGAAGGCATGACGATTGGAACACATAGATGCTTTCAAAGAAACTTTCCAAAAATTACTGAGGTCAGCTTTAAGATAAACTCTTCCTGTAAATTAATTCATGCATTTTCTCTTTAAAGGCACATGCTTAGTCGCCATAGTGGATTAGCGACCTGTTCGAAAGTGATGGAGTGATGGAGTCAGGTGGCACTTTGCCAAATTAAAGGCGTTACTCGCTCAGCTTCAATTTCGAAGTAGTGCGAAAGGAAGCTGATTTTTGTATTTCGTTGAAATACTCCTGACCTCTTGTGGAGACCACAGGTAAATGCCAGGAAGAAAGTCCAAAGACATTTGAACCCAAGTTGAGCCCAAAAGTCCAAACTACCTCTAAATCTTAATAACCTTGATGAGCTTGCAGAACACCGTTTCATTTGTCCCTTTTTAATGGGGAGCTCTATACAGCAACTCTTAGATATTGCTGAGCATAAAGACATTTTATGCTCAGCAAAATGTAGAAAACTTTTATGATAAAGGTAGGTCTCAACTAAATCCAAGCAAGTCAGCAAAACTGCACCCAGTAATTGTGTGGAGAATGAAAAGGGAAGAGGGACCCATGGGACGTAAATGCTAATTAGTTGGGTATTTGTATTGCACTAAAGCACTAGCCTTCCTTTTCAAAGGTTACGCAGTAGGGCGAGATATATTGTCTGTCTTAATGTGCCGCACATTCTTCATCTTCTCTGTCAAAAGAAGCTTAAAAGCAGCTCAAGAGCAGACAGTTTGGCCTTCCAGATATATTTTACATTTTAGGCTCCACAGGGAAACACTGTGCTTCTGTATTAATAGACCACAGAGTCTTTCTGAGTTTTAATCCATGATTATGTCTAACAGAATTCACACAATTATGATGAAGGATGGATACATTTGTAAAATATTGTGACTGCCGCTATTACCAACCACCCGTTGTGAGACCCACATGCCACTCCAATGTCTACTTTTGTGGGATTCTGAATAAGGACGGATACAGAGGTTCAATTCTTTAATGATGATGGTGGCACCTCAATTTCGCCTTTCCTTCACAAATGACAGAATTAGCATGAAATCATTAAAATAACACTTTTTTATTATTGAAGACCAATTTTATCACTTTCTACTTACATCATCATGGTTTAGAACACTTAAACAAATGACAGCCAGCTAAAACAAATTCCGTTTCAGCATTTCAAAATGTTATTTTCTAAGACCAGAAATAACACTGAAACGTTTCCGATTGACACGGAAAGAACAAATGTAAAGGCTTGACGAAAAAGAAATAAATAATTACAAAAAATATATATCTACTTACATTCCAATCCAGCTGTAAACTTAACAGATCTGAATTATCTGAAATTGAAAACAAAGGCTCAGTTTTAACACCTACGTGGACATAAATCCTGCAATAAGTAAAATAGTCAAGGATCAAAGCATGCATTTAAATTATTTAAATGCCTTTATTTTAAGAAAAAATAATATGGCTGGCATTTTCTCAACTGCAAACCCTCTCAAGCTAACTGTTGTGTGTATCTGTAAAATCAGATTTTCACAAGAAAATAGGATCCTTCAGATCAATTCATAACTTAATTATTACAGTCAATTGGATGCAGTTCATACAGTAATTTTTAAATGACTTTTAGATAAGAATTAATTCACTATTTGAAGGATTTGTAAATAAACCACACATTGAAAACAAACTTTCAAAATTATCTGTTTAAAAATTGTGATTCAAGGTTGTCAGAAAGATTGTGTCTTCTGAACAGAGACTTCTCTTAAAGCATACCAGCGTAATACGGTAGTCTACAAAGCACAACTGAGATTAAGCCATGAGAATGATTTCTTTGTTGTAAAATAAATATCTTTGAGGAAAGTGTTGTTTTCTTAGCTCAAGTGTCCAACATATTCAAAGGCACTTAAAAACTCAAACCCAATACACATCCATGAGCGTGTTCATTGTGCACATTCTTACTTTATAATAAAGGCAAAGAAAGAAATACAGTTCGACGTCTAAAGAAATCGTGAAACTGCCTTAATGCGACTATATGAGTGCATTTAAATCATTCAATGACCAAAACATAAACTACAAATTTCTAATGTGAAATCCCTTTTCAACATGTGTGAAAACACACTGTATGTTACATCTGAACATCACCTATATCGACGCTGATTTTATTCACAGCTGACTTCATAAATAGCCTTATAAAAGCTAACGTGTTTATTTTAATGTTGTTAACTCAAATTGGGATCAGTATAAATGTATTTTTGGAAGCTTAATGAATATGAAGACGCATATAACTCTGAGTGCCATCAGTGCGTATTTCACTGCATCTCCATTTCAGGTTGATAGTGAATTCAAACATTGCCTTTGGAACACAGAAAAGCGGAATCTTTTAGCACATCACATAATATTTCCTCAACCGAGCATCCTCAGCATCTAAAATAACATGGCGCCAACCATGTGTGTTTAAGACTTATCAACCAAGTAATAACCCACTTTAAATACAAAAACATGAGAAACAATCAACCTCATTGCTTTCTTAATTTTTGGGTTCCAATGGAGTGTCTTTTATTTGGCCGTTATATTTTTAGGTGTTTTTTTTATTATTTCTTTTCAAAAGGTTTCTTTTTTTAAAGGGGAAACATATACATCTCTTACTGATATTGTGATGCAGGAGGGCTAAATTTTCCACCCAGCTTCCTGCATTTAACTCCAACCAGTAAGAAATGGACCAAATGTAAGCATACATTTTGAACTTTAAAACTGTTGGATTTGTTTTCTGTATCCAACTTGTGCCTCTTCAGAATATGTTCATATGATGTTTGTTTCTGAAGGTTTCTGGCCATTAATTATGTTTACGAGTACTCAGCCTGAAGTGGCAATTCCACACAAAGGGTAAAAATGGCATCTAACAATAAAAATTGAGTTTTTTAAGGAAAAATATATATATTTCGAACCTTCCAAATGTCTTTTGATTTCTCAACCAAACCAAGTGCAGCTATTCTTTCTAAAACTAAGCACTAAGTGCCAAAGCTCATCTTTACATGCTGTGTTTGTAACGAAGTAAATGGCTGTTTGTGACAATGAAGGGCACAATCGAAGCAAATTATATTAATTGCAAACAAATCCATGTGTTCGTTCTACCTACATCCAACCAGAAAGTGACAAAAGTGTTTTAGTTTGGATCTCACGCCACATAAAAAACTGTTTAGGAGTCCTTGTGGCTTCTGAAACAACGTATCAAGAGGGATAGCTGCTCTGATTTCCACTGCTCTCCTGTTCTTGTAGGTCACCAAGAGCCATATTGAAAGTTAAGAACGCAATGTTTTCTGTAACTTTCAGTATGTTTCAATTCAAGGACATGCTGGGAAGACATTCCAGCAATGAGTGGGCGTGCAGGCAGCAGAGCACTGAACGAGTAGCCAGTCAGAGAGAAAACTGATTCTCTGTTGCCTTACAGGCAGACATAGTGATGGCCGCTCTACATCCACATAGAAACTCATAGCAAAGTGAACTTGTGCAGTAGAAATCAAAGAGGCTCTTAAGCTCCTACCTCTGATTCAATAAAACTTAAATTTTCCTGCTGATTGTCAGAGCTTCTGGAGACCACTTTGAAGCTCCTCTGATTCGTGCTTCTTCTTAAAAAGATTTTTTAGCTTTAGGGTTTTTTTGTTTTTCATTTTGTCTTTGCTCTTGGCATCTCCGCTCTCAGCTCTGGGTGGGGGAACTGGTGACCCCACCTCAGCCATCGCTCTGCTCTCCGGCAGGTTGGGTGTGGAGGCGGACAGAGTGGTCGGGGTCGAAGCTATGGAGCTGTACGACTTTTCGAGGATGCCATCGTACACGAGCCGGCTCAGTGGGCCGATGGAATAAAGGTCTGTTGACGACTTCCAAGGTACTTGGGAAGTTAGCATGAGGTCCGGCTGTCCAATTCGACACGGCAAAGAACTTGCCTCCGGTGCTGTCAGCTCTTCCCGACATTTTAGATGTTTAGGTATGTCCACTGGAGCATCAACTCTGTCCCAGAAGACTTCTGCTGAGCCGCTGATGTCATCTCTTGGTATTCTTGGCATCCTCTTTCTGAGAGAAGCAGCGGACCCCTCGGGTTCATTTCTTGGGATCTCATTACTTATAAATGACTCTGAACCAAACTCTTGCTTATCTGTTGATGGTGATATATCTGTCAATGACTCTCCAAATGGGTCTCCATGCATCTTCATCATTGAGGCGATTTCTGTACAATACTCTAACTCATCTAGAGAAAGATTTCTTGGTGGCAATCTTTTCTTGGTGGCAGCCTCAACCATTTTGTCCCTTGCTAGTACCCTTACAGAGGAATCAAGCAGACGTTCTCTTATACTCTGAGTAAACTTCCTTGAGCCTGCGTCCTGTGATATCCCCACGGAATCTCTCATAATCCTCTTGGATTCAACCAGATGTTCTGCATGGTCTCTGGTCATCTTTTTTGAGGCTGTGTCCACCGACACTCCCATCATATCTCTTGATATCCTTCTTGGTCCGTCTTCTAATTCGGTCCAACGAATCTTTCTTACATCCAGAGGTAAATCATACCTTTCTGCATAGACATTCCTCGATGAGATGTCCGTTAAATCCCCTGCTGCGTCTTTTGGCGGTTTCCTGGGTAGAAACTCGGAATCTAACTCATCTGAAAACCCCTTTCTAAGTGCAGGATCCGTGGAAGCTTCACCCCTTTCTCGAGACATCTTCTTTGACGCAGCGCTCAGGAAAGACTCGTCTGAGATCTTCAAAGATGAGTTATCCAAAGAAGCTTCCATGGTTTTGTCTTTAGCCTTTCTCCTTAAGGAAACATCTGTATCTGTTGCAGCTTCACGCTCTTCCACAAAAGTTTTGCGAACTGGAGGCTCGACTTCTTCACCAAAAGACTTTGTAACTGAGGTGTCTGCAAGCATTTCAGCCTCATCATGATAGAACCTCTGAGAGGAAGGATCAATAGTGGGACTTGGAAAGATTTTACTGACAGGAGGGGATGTTACATAGTCTATGTCTATGAATTTCTCCTGGGAATCTCTGTTAAAAACAGAAGAGAAATTAGGCATACTAGATTGAAAGGACACAGGAAAGGAAGGTTCATAGCAAATATCTCAAAAGTTGTTGGCGATAGCTGTTAAAATGAGTGGTATATACAATCATGGACATTGTAGTTAGAGAGACATACTGCTTTTTAAGAGTTTTCAGATAGCGCTCCTCTCCTTCATCATAGCACGGATATGGGGATCGGATGGGGATCAGAAGGTCAGGGTCCTGCGACATAATGGTAGCCTGTGGCGGAGGTACGGTGCCTGGACGGCGCGCCCTGCATATGGTGGACCCCAGGGGCCGAGGAGATCGCTTAATTGAAACTGGAAGTGGAAGAGAGAGCAAGCGAGACACTCCAATTCATTCAAATGCAACAGATACGAATATTCAAAAATGTATACCCTAATGGCTTAGTAACACCTGGAAAATCTTCCTTAAAGTGTATAGTTTGTTACCAAACCAATCCAACCAAAATGTTGTCATTTGTTCTTTTCCAAAACAGAAAATGAAGTGACATGCATGTTGTTTGCAGGAGTAGGAGGAGTTAAGAGATAGCAGCATACTAGAATATCGGCCTTTGAAATGACTCTAATATAGGATTACAATGTTTGTGGGAAAAGTCCATTAATTTAGACTAAATGCATTTTCTCGATATGAATTGGATGTTGTTTTTACAGATGTCAATGTACCTTCTCTAAAACATGACAGTAAATGGAGGGATAATCTTGAGTCTACAATGGCTGGATTGTACAACAACCTCTAAATGGCAAATATCAGTGCAACAGTAAAACCAATATGACATGATCCAAGATTTGCTGGCAGACTCGTGTATGAAAAATCATCTCATTAATGCTATTCACATCATTTGTCAGTGGTTCTTAACCCATAATGCTATATGTATCATATTTGCTAAACGCATTTTATGAAAGCTTTTGCATAAATTTTAGGTAAAAACCTTGTTGTATACATATATTCCTGATGCCAGTGGGCATAAGACTACACTACAATACGTGTGACTTTGCACAAGGTAATAAATGGTAAATATACTTTTTTTTGTTAAAGGGCCCAAAAAAACACTTGAGACCAATAAGAAAATTCAGTTTGATCCCTTTTTATTCTTGGATCAGGATTTTAAGAGTTAACTTCAAGTTCTTTGGCACAGCAGCAGGCCTGGAAAAGCGAAATATTCAAGCAAAATCTGAATATTTTTGCCATAACATGTGGTTCTAGTATCTTTGATGCCGAATCTCGCACAAGTCATTTTCATTCGTCCTGACAAAAGTGGATGGGGGATAGTGGATGGATCATAAAAACTAAACTACAAAATTGCCAAATTGTTTGCTGTGTCCTCCATGAGCAGATCTCAAATGGAATTGATTGTGGGTTTATACAACTAAGAACCCATATAAAGAAATCCATAATTCCTGCACATTACCTGACATCTGGGGCAAGCCTGGAGGGGCGGGCTCGTCTATAAGATCCTCCATTGATCCCTGGATAGAGCTGTGGCACGAGCAGGATGGCTGCGGCACACGGGACGGACCCAGGGATAACGACTCAGAGTAGAGCAGCGCGGTGAGGTTCACTAGACCGGGGTTCCTGATGATAGGGAAGCCGCACAGGATCTCGATCTGCTGCCAGCGATGAAGGCGCTCTCGCAGGCAGGCTGTGACCTCAGACAGCGCGTTCCTTTGGGGACGACAGTTTAGGCCAGCTGTTACTTATTCATCGAGACAGATTTCAAACAGAGAGAGCACGGGCCGTTTTCAATCTCACTTCGCTTCCAGAATCTTGTGGTCAACCTGGTCTAGGGAGGAGCTGTGGGCCACGTGGAGCGTCCCCAGCACGGAGCTCCTCTTCTTCTTAATCTTCTCAGCCTGCAGGAGAGCGTTAGCACAGGCCACTTAACGTCCGTGTTTGGAATTCTAGAAAAGAATTCAGGAAAGTTTTGGCGCGCATCTTTTGGTGTATTACCTCTTCCTTCGCGATGGCCAGTTGTTTTTCCGCGGCCTGCTTTTTGACACCGTAATACTGAACCTCCACCTCATGTGTCAGCTGCAGCCACTGCTGAAGGGCCTCTGAGACGCTCCAGCTAGCCCGCATGTCCTTTTCTGCCTGTTTCAGCACACCGCGGATCTAAAGAGAGCCAGCAGCCAAATGTTGGACAACATAAAGGATATAAAATAGACCTTATGTCCCAGTTTCTCACTCCAGTGAGAAAATGTTGCATTATGGAAAAAAAATCAATCTAACACGCCAATTAGGAAGGTTTTGTGGACATCTTTGATTATAAGGACCACTGGAAACGTTCTCAATAACCATATTTCTGATTTTTTTAAACGGAAGCAGAAGCTTATCAAATCCATCTGTACCAGTTCTAGCCCAGATTTGATAAATGTATACATATATGAAGCAAAAAAGAAAATACATTCAAATATGTTTATTTGTGACTAAATAAAACACCATCTAGCCAGTAGTCAGTGAAAGATGCAAAAACCAACACTACAGCATGACTGTATGGCTTATATAAGTTTAATTATACTCGAGGCACACTGTATATTGGGATAATGTAGAAACAAAATTCACCATGAAGATAACGTGCCTTTGTGGGATACTGCAACATTTGGAAGAGAATTAGATAAGAACGACTAAGGACTGTTGAGGCTTCAAGTCCAAAATAAAACCTTTTTTCCTTTTTTTGAATGTCCAAGTCCTCCTTTTTAATATTTCTAGGCGTGTGTAACACAGCATCATTTGAGAAGTTGCTTCCTGGATTTGTAGTGTGTCTACCTGTTCCAGCTCCTCCTCTGCGTATCGGAGGCGGCTGAGCTCGCTGACCGCTCCCTGCCTCAGCTCGTGCAGGCGGTGAGCTTCCTCCTGCGCCCCCATGATCTCGTCCCTCATCTTTTCCTCCAGGTTCTGTTTCTCCTCCGCCACATTTCGTTTTTCTTCCTGGGCTCGCTCCAGTCTGAGCAAAATGAAATGGTTCTTTTTTTTTAATCACACGGAGGAAAGTCGTTTGAATTTTGTACAGTCGTGACTGCCAGACAAAAAAAACCCCCAGAAAGAATAGTGAATAGTTACTGTTCCTGCAGATCCATCAGGCTCTGTTCAGCCCTCTGCAGACTGTCCAAATCTTTCATCATCTTGGTGATGTGGATCTTGCTGGCTTTGCTCTGGGCCTGGGCGAACCAGCAGCCCCCGACACCCATCACCACAGATACAATGAGCAACAAGTCCTTCATGTAGTTATGAGGGGGACCTGCGATCACGAAAGGCAGCGGAATCACACCGGAAAGTCAGTCACTAGTCCTGAACTTTACGAGTATGAGGCAGATACATCACACAGAAAAATCAAATGAGGCAGCATGGGCAGATAATTTGTCCGTACGTGTCGGTGGTCCGAACAGAACGACATCCAAAGCTTTGATGTTGAGCTTCTGTTTATCTCTCTGGTCCTGAACTCTCAGCTGGCCACTGAGGAACGAGGGCTCATTTGCAGCGATCCTACGAGTAAATGTCAGCGGGGGTTCGGTGTGGGTATGGTACACAGCTAAAGGCCATTTTCCATCCACCCCCCTATCATTCTCACCTGGGGAGGGTGTTTCCGTTGACCTTAAAGTCTTTAAAGTTCCTTTCATATTGTGGCAACTCCACAAACTCCTTAAGCCAGCGCAGGACCTCCTCTTGAGTCCAGTTATGTACTAAAAAATCAATAAAAGAGAAAAAATTACACAAGGTTGATCTTTACATCTGCAGACGCGCGGAAAAAAATCTTGGTTCTAAGAGGCAATAGGCACCTTCAGATGATTTCCAGCTCCTCCAGAGCTCCTCCACCGTGATGTGTTGGTCCTCCCTGTGCAGCTTGCTGTGTTTGTGGGGCTGCTGCTGCTTCATGTCTTCAATTATAAACTGCGGCAGGAGGGAACACGAGGACAGAGAATTGAAAAGAAAAACTTTAAGCATTAGGGTTTAGAAGCAGCGAAAGGAAGACAGTCTCCACTTTAACACCGGCTAAAATCAAGCGGACGGGCGCAGTGGCACAGCGGCATGTATGCGTATAGCAGTGTGTCAGTGCGGGCCCGGAATGCGTTCTCGGCTGTAAACGGAGACTTCATACGCCGGTGAGTGGAATTTAGGGACTTTAATAGGTCCGGCCCCCGTCTACTGATGTCTCTCAGGCAACCGCAACCCGAGCCCGTGGATACAGTATCCATGAAAAGCTTTCTTGAAGCCTAAGGCCTTCTGGAATTCCGGGTTTATCGCCGATGCCGCATACTTAGAAACTTTGTGGACAGAGCGATTTGCGCAGAACTTGCCCTCAAAGGCACAGTTCTGGCAGATCTGCATAAATATGCTCCCATGGAGAAAATGTTTCAAAGGACTACATGTTCATTAACTTTGAAGAACTTTACAGAAATGTTCACAACAACTATGCTATCAACCTTTTGGCTACTTTGCCAAAAGCTTCAAAAGACAAAACTCGCTTTACTGGGAAAAAAAAATAAAAATAACGGTATTTATGTAAAGCTCATGCTGTCTTTTTCTTTCCCCAAGTCTTCTGTATTTGGCATTACATCATTATGATGCCGCTGAGCGCGTCTTTCGAGTTATCCATGTCAACTGAGACAAATTTCCTGAAGAATAATGTTTACCGGAGTCAGGGCCCTGATTACACTCTTTAAGTATGACAGTGAAGGTCACCAGAGTAGCCGCCTTCTATTAGTGCAAACCAGTTCTGTCAGCGAGCCAAAAGCAAACTTAAACTGTTGCTATCCTTGAAGGAGCATTCGACTCCACCGGCCAGCGCACCTGTTGTTCCGCTGCTCCTTAAAGTCTTCTTCTTCTGTGCAAGAACACAAGTACACACTGATTTGCCAAAAAAAAACAAAAAAAAATCTAAAAGGGCCCAAAACCTTGGCTACCTCCATGCTCTCTTCCACCTCGATCCCACCATCCTGGTCATCGTCCATCATCTGGTGGATGCTCCTCAGTGCCTCCAGGCTGTAATGATCGGCTTCATTCATACATGGTGGAGACATCACCATGCATGGGTCTTAGGTGGAGGAGAGGGAAAATACAGAATAGCAATTATAAGTTAATTATGATTTAGAGGGCTCCTTTCATCCATTGATGCTGTTCAATTGTATCAGTAACTGATTTATAGTTTTATATTATTTCTCTCAAAAGTTTTTGAATATAAAAAAGAGACTTCATGGTGTCTACATGACCCCAAAGTAGACAAGGGGCAGATGAGAACAACATATATGGATGTGGCCAATAGAGATTAGTCCTGTGAAACAGGACTTCCTGCTTCATGAAGTAAGCATCTTTTTTTTTATAATTCTTCCCTTATTTTCTCTAATCCACTGAGATTCCCGCAGGGCCGTGACAGGTGCACTCGACAGTCCTCTGTTATGTCTATGAATCCAATAAAATAATCCAAGAACACATATGCCGCCTATTATAAGCCGCATGAGCTGTTGGTTGATTTAGAAAAATGCGATAACAACAGTAACTGATTTAAAAAATCATAATATGGTCATTAGAAAAGACCAGAATCCAATTTAAAGGTAACATAGTAGCTTCATAAACAGAATGTATCTTAGTCTGACCTGTGATTTATTCTTTTTTTCTTCTTTTTACTTTTGTTTATGTCCAATCCCAACCACAAAGAGACGAAAATATGTAACTAAAGCGCCATTTATCTGTGATGACTCCAAAGTCAAGCAGGTAGGTAAATGTAGTATTTAAAAAGTGCCAGCATGTCTACCTATCCAATTTAAACTGATATCTATGAAACATAATATATTTTTTTAATAATCAACCAACTCCCCTATTTAGCTGTTTAAACTTGTCCAGAAGATAAGTACATTGTCAATCATAAGTTGCTTATTCTAACCCACATTTGTATGCAATGTTCTCAGCCCTTGGAAACTCTTCACATATTTCAATAAAAGTCCCCTCAAAATGTAAACAAAAATACTATAATGTCATCATAATATTAACTTCTCATGTATGCAGTAAGTCATCAGCAAAGTCGCGTCGTTCTCATTCAAAATAACTGAAATACTCAAAAGTCGATGTTGATCAGTCTTCCAACTTTGTTTTAACCTAAATTCTCTTTTAGCCTCTTCAAAGAATTAAAACTGAATCCAAGAATATAAAGCATAAATAAAATATACAGACATGTACACCACATGGCACAGAAGGCTCCCTGGAGAGTCATCACGCTTGAACTAATTAGGCTTTAAATTGAACGGAGCGTTCCAAACTTGAGAAATACGACTGGAATACTTCGGAAGATGACACACATCTTGCTGTTGTCTGCCAGTCTTCTGAGTCAGCCTCCATTTTCGTCGCTGTGACTCAAGAGTTTGGGTGCTCTGAGGGAGCAGTGGACGGGGGTCAAAGGTCTGTCAGTTAAACCCACCATCAGCGTGCCCCAGTAACACAAGCCTGACCTCACTGTACAGGACAATTGCCCACCAGAAAAAGCAACAACTGGCCAACAAGTGAACTGTAACCATCTGTCTTTCCTCCAGTAGCTTAAAAATGCATTGAAGAAAAAAAACAAGCAATGTGCAATGATGAGGTAAGTGTTTTTTTTTAGTTAGTAATGTACAAGATGTACAGAGCAAAACCACAGCAGTGACGACACCTTTTTGCTGGGTGTGCAGTTAAATTTCTACGGTGTCTGCAAAGGCCCTTTGAACAATGTGGTTTTATGCGTGGTCGTGTGGTAACATGGTCTGAACCACCTTAGAAAAAAGATTCTTTAGCATTAGCGCTTGATAATAATATTCCAGGTTCCCTAAAGGCCATTGCAAAACTCTCCCTTGGATGTTGGCTGCTATTTCTTCTCTGTTTCCAGACCTGATTTCAGGCCAGTTCTCGTGTTTTTTGGTATGCCTCTTGGCCCCCTATCTATTCCTTAATAATGGCAGACACTCTTATGCAGGACCCATTGGATGGATTAACTTCAGGCCTTTGGAGTTTCTTTCTATTTCTTTAAGACGTCATCATCAGATGCTGTTTATCTGAAGTCGTTTATTTTTATCTGAGTGGTTTGTACTTTTGTCCTCGCTTAGGTAACTCCCTAAGTTTATTTCTCAAGCCTACACTGAGTCCCATGTAGAGATATTCCAAGGTTTTCAGCTAATATCCTCAAGAAACATCCTATTAGTGGATAAGGTATTGACTGTACCTGTTAAAATCTGTTTTCTTATGGTTTCACCTTCTTTTTTAAAGCGGTACAGAGAGCCAAACGTAAATGGGAAGAGGTTATTTTTCTATGCAGCAGTCTGCTTGTAATAATGTATCAAAAAGAGGAATTTGAAATAGATTATTTGATGTTCACAACAAGTTCATTCCTTGAATAAGATGCTAGATCTGGTGCAGATCAACCGGTATGGGCTTTGAGCTGAAAACAAGGGGGAAAAACGGCCTGTGTCCGAAAAATGTTTGGACAATGTTAAAAAAATACAACAAAGAAGGACTTCTGGACTGTATTAGATCATTACATTTGGAGCCTTAGTTTAGGGTTATGTTAAAGAAGATGAGGTTATAATGACAGTAAACCCACAGGATATGCATATAGGTCTAAGAAAATGATGAGAAAAGTAACTACTTTCTGCAGGTATTATCAGTATTGGTGCCACACCCTGTCTCCTGATCCCACTTTTTGGAACTTCACAGGTGAATCTGCACTGGTGAAATCTCCACGCAGGACTGGAGCAACAAGCACTTAGATTTAACAGTCAAAACACAGCAGAACTTAAATGCACCCAAAGTAAACTTCAACGACAGAAAAACTGTCAAAATAAATCTGGCAGTTTTTAAGTAAAAAAAAACTAAAGTTAATTCTTTGTACCAAAAAAACAGGGTTAAAATATGCTCTATTTGTCATATTGGAACTTTATTGACTGAAGGACTTACCTAAATAGATTCCACTGAAAAGAACCGACTTAAAAAAAAACTTTTCTCACTTTGTCCAAACTTTCCTTACTTCATTTTCTTTCCTGTCCGCTACATTTTGTGTTTACCTGGTGGGTCGAAACCGGCGCTGCCTCCGGGGGAAATGAATCCCTGAAGATCTCCAACGCCGTGCGCGGCCACAAAGAGCGCAGCGGGAAACAGGAGCAACAGGGGGCACAGGGGAAGCATTTCAGACGGTCGATGGCCCGAAACTGTGGTCCAAAAGTCGTTAAGACCCTCAAAAAAAGTTGGAGAAGTGCGTCGCATAAAGTGACCCGGGCCCTGTGTGAGGGGCGCAGTATCGGTGCGCGAAAGCGATCCGTGTTGCTATTACGGGTGCAGCCCGAGGGGAGATGTGATACTGATGTTCACTTGAGAGATCGGGCGTGTGGGATCGTGCGTTTCCGACCACAGGATAAAGTTGCTGCAAAAAATACAGCATAAACAGGAGGGGAAAAAATCTGTGCGTAAAAATCGGCGATTCCGGAGAAACTGATGAAATCCACAAATCTGCCAGATAAAAATCAGACTACATAATCCGTCACATGTAGGTTAAATCAGTAAACATCCAGGGTTGTTATCACTTTTTTTTTTTATCAGGAGAAGGAACGGGAAAAACAGAGGGTGTGAGTGGAGAAAACCGGGATCTGTGCGCCTCATGTCCGGTCGGAGTTGGGCGTCTGTGTTTTATATGTCTCGGAGCACAAAGTTAAGCCGCGCGGCTGTTCTCTCCTCTGTCGCCCTTCTTTTTTTTCTTCTCTCCAAACGGAGACGTCACGATATGACGTTCCTTCGCGGAACTGACAGCCCCTACCCTCCCTTTCCCCAACTCCCCCAAAACGCGCATACGCACGCGTCAAAAAGTAGTTTATGTCGGTTATGTGACTTTTGGAAGTTCCATTTAAAAACGTCTTAGTGTCTGTTTAGAATATAAACCGTTCGACAGCTGTCTTTACCTGATCAATTCCTCTCCGAACTACTTTCCAGACCTTACTGATGCTTTGGCATCAGGGTCGATCGGAACATCTAAAGCGCATCGGTGAAAAGTGTTCGAACATTATCACGCCGTGAATAGCCTGTCCTCGGTCCTATCACGGTCGGACTGTCTGCATCTGACAGTTGCGGCCTACATCCTTGTTCGCAGTGTTGGAAAGGCTTAGGCAGTGTTTACGCAGCTGCCTGCCAGGTCTCTGCTGGCCGTTACGCGCTCCACGCTGGCGCATAAAAACGCTCACAAGACACGCACAGGCTATGGAGGTCCAAGTGAATTAGAATTGGAGACGCCGGCGAGCTGCGTGGCTGCGCGTGCACGCCTCGGACTGTCACAGGGGGGTGTCCGGTTTCGTCCCACCGACCTGGCTCCCGGTGTGTAAAAATAGGCGGTCGGAGTTGACCTCTACCCTGCCGGGGACCCAGTTCTCCCCCCCTTCTGCTCTGTGTTTGACAACTAATTCAATGAAGGAACACGACCATGGACCTCGGTCTTATTTTAATTCATGATGCTCTGCTCAGGAGGGGGTGGGTGGGTTGGATTAACTTGTGGAAAAGCAACGCACCACTGTCAAGACACCGTCCACCCTTCTGGTGCTATTTAAGGAAAGAGCGCACACAAACAAAGTAGGAAACACGAGAGGAAAGACGCGGCCGGCCTGTAAACAGGCGGGTCACGTGGGCTGCCGGCACGATGACGTAGAGAGGTTGTTTTGGCAGACGGTTAACCTCATGGCAGCTCTCACTTAGGAGATGCTGACAAGATGACTGGAATGGAGAATGGGGTGTGAATGTGGGGTGGGGGGCTTATTAAACAAAAAAATGTCCCATGCCTCAGCTTCTATGAATAACAGGTGCGTACGGACAAAGAGGAGAAGGATCACCTGCTGTTTGGATTTCTGCTCTTATATATCCTTTTGTTATCTGCGGCCCCTGGCATCGTTCTCCCTTATCGGAGTTCTGCTCTGTCAGCTTCGCAGTAACGCTGACAGCTCTCCGCTTTGTGCTGCCACACTTTATGTTTGCAGTTTTGGCACAGACGTCTCAAACGACCGGCTTACTGGAGTGTTTTTTTCCCCCTACTTAGGAGTAAGATAAGCGGGACACGGTGGGTCCTGTGGGTTGGAGCAAAAAAATAAATAAATGTAAAAATTCTGTTGAGCTTGCTTAGTTCAGCTCAGGAGGTACCTCATGGTGCATGCTTTTAATCCTGGTGTGTGTGGTATTAGCGACTGTGGTATCAGCAGAATAAAGATGAGAAATGCGTGGACGGCTGGGATCTCCCTTAGAATAACAAGAGGAAAACAGTATTAAGGCTCCTCCTTAGACACATCAAGGCAAACTCAAATGACAAATTAGGTGCTCATCATGTGGACTGTATATTACACATATATATAAAATAAACACAAACACGACAATCTCATCTTTGATGTCAGCAGATAAAAGCTGAACGGTGGCCCAAAAAAATAGAAAATTGAAGCCTTTAACTGCCCTTATTTTCTAAAGTGCCTCCTTTAAAACGAAGACTGATTGATTCCTGCTCACTGCTCTACAGCATGGTTATAGTTAGTTAATTACAGTAAAAGCGTGTTATAAAAAAAATGGGGGGAGGGGGGTTAAAAAACGGTTAAAAAGTTGTATTCAGACTATTAGAGAAATACTAAAAGCCAGTGAGACAAATGAGAAATAGGACCAACGATGAGACCCACTGTTTGGTAACAAAAAGAAAATGCTATGCAGTATCATACAACAAATACGTCAAAAACATGTACCTTAGAATAAAGAGCTACAAATATATCAGGTCGATACAAATATTATATAAAATATATGAATAAAATAATATAACAACATTCCTTGGTCCATAAAAACTATGTTACTTTTTCGAATATTCCCTTGCTCAGAAGAGTTAAGTCGGTTAAAGGTGTGATCTTAGTGGTCAGAAAGCAGAGCGAAGACGGCTTTCGAACCCCGCGGCTGTATGATAAGAAAACAGATCCCTTACAGATCCCATTGGGAGGGTTATACACCTCATATACCCTGTTTTAGGTGAAGATCTTGGATATGGAAGTCCTCCGAGTGGGGCTGGTAAACATGTCCACAGCTCACCACTAGAGGGCGGTACAGTACAGAGACTGTGTCCTGGAACACAGGCTTTCCCCCGTGATTTCACAGACGATCTAATCCGGATCTTCGGGGCTTCCCGCGGTTTTGCCCACAGGTCGGTGAGCCTCTTTGGATTAATTGGGGCGTTTTTCTGCCCGGTCGTTCGGATCGCTATGTCAGCGCCGACACCGGATCGCCGCCGAAGGCGCCGTGGCCGTCGGCGAGGCCGCCCAGCAGGGAGGAGGGCGAGGACGACGGGGACGAGGAGGCGGTGCTGTGCGAGCGCAGGATGGCGCCCGCCGCGCTGCAGTGAGGGCGGGGCCCCGGCTCGGGGGTGTAGGTGAAGGTGAGGGCGGTGGCGTAGATGATTCCGTCGTTCCGCACCAGCGTGACGGGGACCTGAACCGGCTGCCTCACCCAGCGCCAGCCTTCCCGGAAGGCCGAGATGTCCGGCACCACGCACAGGATGCTCTCCCCACACCTGAGGGAGCGAATGAGCATTGTTGAGTTTGAAGCACAGGAAAAAAACAAAAAAAACAAAACAAAAACTGGAATATAACTCACCTATACATGGTGTCTGCTTCCACATCTCCGAACCACACTCTGAGGTTTGGGGTGAAGTTGTGTCCCGTCAGCTCCAACATGGCCACATCTCCTCCCCCGTTTAACTTCACACAGACAAACGAAAAAAATGTGTTTTTAAGAAAAAATAAAAAGATGGATCTGAGTTGGGATGGATGAGCGTATTCTGGACAGAACCTGCAGGCTTTCCACCACGGGGACGGGGGTGACCGGTGTGGGGACGGGGCCCATCCCCTCGAAAAAGGTGTACTCCGCCTTGTCGGTGCTGATGATGGTCCAGGAAGCTCCGTCGTTGATGATCTCCCTGTTGGTCTCTTTGGAGCACGGTGTTGCCTGGGAGTGGAAATAACTTTAGAAATGCTTTCCGGTGCTCGCCGGTAAATCTGGGGAGGCTTGTTAAACTCTCCTCGTCAGTATAAGTAACAACATAGCCTAATGTCATAGGCAATGTAAATGTAAACATGAATCAAAACAACAACAAAACATTAAACACATTTTGTTTCTTTTGGGAGTCCCTGAACTTCATAAAACTTATAAACACAGAAAAGTTACTACAACAACCGGGAACGTTGCCCCTGATGCACAACACACGTCAAATATTTGTGCAGCAGAGGCGACGTTCCCATTTATTGCAACATTCTGAGCTTTACTGAACCACAACATATTATGCTAATCGGATTGCTGCACTAGATAGAATATGCTCATCTTTGATCTCTGATATGCTATGTGATATGCTACCACATTCCCACTGGACAAAAACCTGCCTTTGATCCAATGTGGAGGCTTTAAAGATGGTGGCCTTGCTCTAGGCATAGCCTAAGCGAGAGACCCCCTCACCGAGAACTTTCTGGGGTAATCAGATAATTCATTTTTCCATTAGTTTCTGAAATGATATGGTATCTGTGACTTTGGAATCATTCTTATTTAAATTTGACAAAATCTGGCAATGAGGCACCTTCCCACAGAGTTTTGCAGATCATTACTAACAAACTCTGTAAAGTACAGCTTCAATTAATGGCATGAGAAAAGCTTCTTCTATAAAAGGCAGATTGTCATCACGCTATCGCTGCATATGTGAGGCTTTATTGGTAATCCAAAGGGGTGAAATCACCTCTGTTTATCTATTCCATGTAGAATAACAAATAACCGCTGTAGTACTAAAAGAGAAGCAGAAATAATATAAGATCATATAAAAACACATTGGTCTTATCACTGGGAAGTCAATTCCCCTCATAACACAACACACAGCTGCATTAACAAAGTTAACCCATTACCAAAGACCATAGTACCAGAGTACATTTGGAGTATTATCATAATGACTTCCTACAAAGTGTTTTAAATCTAGAAAAATTCCAATACCAACAAAAAGCTGAGAATGTGTGCTCACATCACAATTAATCACAATTCCTGTTTTTCAGCCTCAGTAGGTAAAAGGATGAAGTAAAAATATATATTTCATGTTTTTTTGTCCGCATATGATTTTCCATTACATCAGAAATAGATTTTTAAATGATTATACGTGTCAGGCATACTGGTCTTTTTTCTTTTAGACGATGGGCTATATTCAGAACCCCTGGTTGTTACTGAGGGTAGAGGGGGGGACCTACTGCTGTGAATAGACACAGGATGGTGAGGGTGCAAGCCCACACAAGATATGAGGATTTAACTATCATGTCAAAAGTCAACCTGAATTTTTTAATTCAGTGTATGGAAGCTAAAACTGACACTGACGAGTGTTTTAAACTGAATTCAGAGGACCATCTTGATCCATTACAGGTCCAAAATGCATCAGGGACAATATTCTTTGCATACAACACAAAAGTGACACATTAATAATACATAATACTCTTCCGGGATGAGTAGAATAAAAAAGACATACACGCACAAAAAAAGGGGGAAACTTGCACACCTGAAACTGGATGATCCTCTCCTGCGACAGACAGAGGTACATCCTGTCCGTGTCTTTCAGGTAGAAGGCGCACTTGTGAAGCTGGGACACGGGGTCGTCCGCGTCCATTAAAGCTGCCTGCTTGTCCACTTTACGGATGACCTGAGGAGCGGAAGCGTGAAAACCAAAACACCTGAGTCAGCGCAAGGCAAAACGTCAGAGCGTGCGCTTCGGCTGGGGGCGGCCGGCGTACCAGTCTGGGCAGAGCCATGCCGGTGACCGAGCAGACCAGCTTCACCGTCTGGCCGTAGTGGATGTAGCCGTCTCTGACGGCAAACTCCTCCCCTTCGGACTCCTCGTCGTCCACTGAACAAAAAGATGACGCACAGTGACTAAGTGTTTTGTCATTAAATGGGGGATAAAAGCAGTTTGGGGGGTAAAATAAAAAGTATAAACGCCTAAGGTGTGACTCACAGAGGTGGATGAAGAAGGCGCCCCACTGTTGGGAGCTGGCATGAAAGTTCCCCCCCTCCACATGCAGGTACCTGGTGCTGACCGTTTGAGAGCGCAGGCGGTTGAACAGGGCCACCTTCGTCCCAGACGCTATGCACACTGAGGAGGCGTTAAAAGAAGAGCCAACAAACACAACTCCTCAGGTAACAAGCATTACAAGCCAAAGACAAAACCCATAATATCCACATTGTTTTTTATTGGACGCGGAGGGGACAACTCCCTCAACTCACAATCTGCGTTTTTCAGCGACTGCTTCTTCTTGGAGGGTTTGGAGATGACTTTGATCCTCTTGCTGAGGAAGACGCCGATGTTGGAGCTGTTTCCGTACAGCATCTTGACGGTCAGCATGAAGTGCTTCCTTTTGTCCGAGTCGCTGATGTAGAGCGTCTTCGCCGTGCAGAAGTGCTACCACGGAAAATTGGGGGGTGGTGGGGGGGAGACACAAAAAAAAAAGATGAGAGAGTTCATTGAGAGTGTGCGCTTCAAATTTGGCCAAGTTTCATTTCCCTTTTAAATCTGACTGTTGGCAAACGAGCAAAGCTGCTGGGTGTTATGCTGAGCCGCCTCTATTTCTGCCTAGAAACAAAGGAAAACTAAAAATCTAAATAATAAATATGCATGTGGTTTTCCACAATAGCTCTGGAGGTTTTTTGACTAATTTAAAAAGCTACTCTTTTGATGTTTTTCCCTTTTTCCACTTACTGGAGTGTTGATTATTCATTCCCACATCAGACCTGTTGCCTCTTATTTTCTGTCCACTTCAGTGTGTCATTTGTAACACCAGAGCCTTTTTTTCCTCCCTGCACCCCTTCCTTAAGAATAACTTCTTGACAGCCACCCTGCCACAGAGACATTTTCTGGTGGAATTTTGGCAAAAAGCGTTTCGGTCCACTGAGGGATCGACTGCGTCTCTCAGGTGTATTTCAGATCTTTGATGAAATTTTTCCTACTTTTTAACAACACCACTTTCATATCCCGTTCTTAATCTGTAGACATGTCATTCTAGGCCTGCCACTTCTCCTTTTGCCCACCACTGGTCTGGCTTCCCCATATTTGTTTAGCACACACTGCATGCCATGCCAAGACGAGACAAAGATCCAGCTAAAGGACACCATGGAAACCTGTTAAACTGTCTCATTTGGCATGTTTTGTAGATTTACAGGAGAAAATCGAACAAAACCTGCTTCACGACAATTGTCCAAAAAGAAGCTTAATAAAATAGTTTCTTGTCTTAGAAGTCCGTTTTGGGCAACCCAAATGATTCATCCTCTGCCTTTTAGCAATGGCTCACAGGTTAGTGTTAAGTGGCTCAACTAATAAAAAAATAAAAAAATAAAAAAAACATCCTTCTGAAAGTAGTCTGGGAAAAAAAAGAAGAGTGGATTGAAAATGTGTGAAGAACCAGACGATGGCCTTAAGAATGCCAGACAGGACTAATTCCCTTGACGACTTTAAAAGATTCCAAGAAAGTCTGGCTCTTTTGGAAAATCTACGGCTTGCCCTTTAAGTCACAAATCCCCCACTCACCTTTCCTTCCAGGTGCAGCTGCTGCATCTCCTGCTCACTGTTGCCGATACCGATGAACGCGCAGGCCTGGGCTTCCTGCTCTGTGCAACCCTCCTTCTCCATTTTCTCTAACTTCTTCTGCCAGCCGGTGCCCATCAGGTACACACACGGCGGAGGACAGAAAAACCTATTCCACACAGGCCTACATTAGGCAAAGCACGCGTGCAAAGAAACAGCCCCCAAAACCTCTATTCTGAACAGAAAAGCTTTACATTTGGATTTTTTTTTAAAACAAAGAGAGAAAGAGTGCAGCTTCTAAGAGTCTCACACACACCGTTTTTCGTTGCCGTAAGACTTTTGCGCAACCTTGGCGTGCAGTATGAGCACGGTTTGATCGTCCTTTTCCTTCAAGTAAGTCCTCATAGCCTCCCTGAAATCAGAAGGAACATGTGTGAACACCTCTCAGCTGCGGCGCACAAGCTATCCCTGAATCTTAACCTCATTAAAGTGAAGAGAAAGCTTTTTAACTCCCCGTGCCAAGAGGGCGTGGGTGCCCGACTCTGGTCCCGGAGGGATGCCGTCCTGCGGGATTTCAAAGTTTTCCCTGCTTGGACAGCCTCCTACAATGGCATATCGACATTATAGCAGGGAAACTTCCAAAAACCTGCTGGACAGCATCCCTTAAGGACCGACTTTGGGGCCACCCCCACCCGGCACAAGAGGCTCAAATCCGGGCTCTTTCCCCACCTTGTTAAACGCTGAGGCTGAGATCGCTCACCAAACTTCCTGCGAAACAAAAACAAACAGGTTGCAGGGTAATTACACGTGGTTTAAGAGCAGAATTAGAGTGGCAGGGATGAAAAAACAAAATAAGAGCTGGCCTTAAAGTGGCTGAGACAAGCCTGGTGAAATACATAATAGCAGTTTTACTTGGATCACATGGGTTTTCAAGGATTGCATGACAGCTGATATGTGTTTGTTATGAACAATGCATATGTGCAAATCTGTGAAGTGTTTTTTCTTGAATAGAGCTAAAATGTAAAGTATAATGTATTCCACACAGCTGAATACATATTAATTGCTTTAACTAGACATCTGCCGTCGACTTCAGTGTCTGAAGCACCGTTATGAAGTTTTTTTTTTTTTAAAGTTCATATGAACGGTCTCTTCTACATTTTTATGGCTGAAAATGTTCAGCCAAGCCGGTAAATGTATGCGAAAGACGGGAGCAGCCGATAAATGATAAGTCACATCCGACGATAAGCGAGTGCACCCGCAAGTTGTTCTGTCAAAGTCTGCGTCGTTTTTAAAACCATATCGCAATATCTTTCCACTCAACACCGAAACACAGAAGCTGAATGCAGTCCTAACGTGTAGCAAGCCGAACTAGAGGGGAAAAACACGGTCGGTGACCAAAAAAAAAAAAAAAGTTTCGGACGTCTTTTGAAACTAGTTTTTCACAAATTGCTGAAAAAATTAGGCGACACTAGGAAGAATAGTTCTGCCTAACTGACCCCCGCATGGGACCGTAAAAGTGTGTACAGCGTGGGCTAAGAGACCAAGGAAGCAAGCGTGAGACCTAAAACATCTCCCGAAAACAATTCAACTCGCCTGTGTTACGACACGTGAGAGTCAAACATTTTTCTAACGCCAAAATGCTTTAAATTTCAGCACTTACCCCGTAACAACGGGCGCCATCTTCCGAAAAACTGACCCCCTGACAAAAAAAAAAGTCCCAATAATCGCGAGATCCCTCCCCCCCAAAAAATCCCCACTAAAGCTAACCGCACAACAGAAGACCCAGACTGGAAGGAAAAGATGGGAGAGGGAGAGGAGGGCGGCGTGACGGGGCAAAGGGGTGAGAAGTTGGGGAGGGAGGTGCGACAGGCAGGGAGCACACGCCAAAACAACAGGCGTGGGAAAGTTGTAAAGTCACGCGAGATTGAAAAAACTCTCACAGTAGACATGAGTGATGAAGAGCAGATTATATCGCGAGATGAACAAACACCTTAACCGCTGTGGGGCTTTTTTTCCCCCTCGCAGGGCACGCACACTGTAACTTGATTCCCACGCCTTATTGAGCTTTAAAGGAGACTTCAACTGACATTAGAGAAAAGAGCTCGAGGCTTCGTTGTCGGCAGTGAAAATGAAAAACGGTGTACTAATCCTCCACATGCTTTTTCCCCGATAGAATAAATTCTTATGTCAAAAACCTCTGCTGTGTGAGAACAAATAATTAAACCTCAACACAGGCACAATAATTTGAGTAGTTTTTATTAAACAATCTTCTTTCAAATAATGAACATTTTAAAAGTATATATAAAAGTTCCAGAATGTAACTAATCAATTCAGACAGTACTAGAAAAGCAATTATACCAACATTTCTGACAGCATTTGGATAATTACAGATTTAATTTAACACATGGTTCTTAAAAAACGCACACACAAAAAACACAAAAATTAACTTTGTAACTGTTAATGATGAAAACTTGGCACATGAATACCTTTCGGTAGACTTGAGTTGTGATATAAGGTACAATCAAATATACACCGTTTTTCAAGACATCAAACATTAAACTGTCATATTTGGAACCAAACAGCAGAATACTTGTACAGCGCATTGGTCAAGACGGTTCAACATTTGACAAATTATAATGAAGCATATTTGATGGTTTTAAAGGAGGCTTATCAGTAAAAACCTATTTTAAAACCTGAAAAACAAACATGAGGGGGGAATGATTGTAAAGGGAAAAAAGGCCTGCTCCCGAGCAGTTACACCAAATAATAAAATCACAGCAAGGATAATCCCAAAAAGGACTCAACAATTTACTCAATAACCACCTTAATGTATCAGTTGCTACACATAGCAGATGAAATATGGTCAGCCTTCATGGTTAAATTGGTCAAATCTGCAAACCATACTTGAACAACTTCTTCCTGAGTCAGTAAAGATGCTTGGCAGAGCTCAGCTTGCTTCTTCATTACAGAAGATCTTTGGAAAAAGTGTTGTTTTCTTTTCTTTCAATTTTTCTGTTAACAAATAGAGCAAGATTAAAAAAGAACTCGTATATTGACATAAACATGATTTTCCTGTAGAGTTGATGTTGAAGTAAATCAGTTCCCGTCTCAGGCTATCCAGATGTTTTCAGATTAAACCTCCAGGGTTCTGATCTGCGTTTGTTGTATGGGCATTGTTAATCTACAGGCTCCTTCTCTAAATCTTCCAGAAAATCCTCTTTCTGTAGAGTACGTAGGAGATGAAGACCCAACAGGAAGTGGCAACGAGGTTCTGGATGAGGTGCTCTGTGTGGGATTGGCTGTTAGCCATGCGCCAGCGGAAGGGAAAGTAGTCCTCAAACACCTCGTGTCCAACGTATACAAGGATGGAGTTCATACCTGAGAACAGGCATACACGTGAGAATGAAGCTCCCCAAACAGTCGGCCCTTCACCGGAGTTCAGCCAAAGATTCCTTTAATACTAGAACTCTGCTCACCTGGGTAGTAGAACGGTGCCCCGGACCACCACTTCTTCACATCGACGGCGTAGTAAACCAGCACTAGCAGCACAAAGGCGAAACAAGCCAATGTGGTCACATAGGACAAAGACCTAGTGGTCAAATAAAGAGGCACAGTTGGTCTAAAAGCTGAGATTTGTCAGGTAAGTTGTCAGTTGTTTAAAAGATATGTTCCACAACTTGCCCGTGCTTCACAAAACGCTACGTAAACATAGCAGACTGGACAAAGAGATGCACATAGTTGAAAGGTCAAATAAATGCAAAGCTTTTGGACTGCATTCCTTAGGAAATGACAGAATGTACAGAAGGTATTGCAGAAAAACAAAAAAACTAAATGAAAAATGTAATCTGAGAGGTTGATAAATGTATCCATATTTTTTTTGAAGCAGTGTTGAAGCTTTCAGTGAAATACTTATAATATTAATAAAAAAATGTAATCTATTTTCCTAAAACAAACAAAAAAATAAGGGAAAAAAGCAGATTTTAGTCTGTTTTCCAGAAAATTATACCAATCTGATTGCTTTAAATTTGAATGCTGATTCTGCTATTTGTTCATATTAGAATATGTGTAATAAGTCAGAACTAAGGGGAATTTTCCATGTAGAGGTATCAGAATGTAATAGTGTCCACTTTTGATTGCTTTCAATAACGTTGGAAATGCATGTTCCTTTTGCCGGACAGACTTTGAAAGCTTTCATGCACATGCACGCAGGGTTGGAAAATTAGAATGGGACTTAAAGATGCTAAAAGCAACCCTTACCACAGGTTCTTGTTGACAGGAATAATTCCCTGGTCTGTGGAGCATTTGGTCAGAACTGCTGACAGGATTCCCTGTGTAATTCAAGAGATGTTAAAATTCAGGTAGAGAGGGAGCAGACGATTTCGATTGAGACGTGGAACCTTTAATTTACAGAAAAGTCAACAATAAAAAGTACTACTGTACTGAAACACTATGCATGGCATTATATACAGAGTGTAAAGAATGCATTCAGTTCATCACATTGACAGCTCCAATAAATTGAACCATAAATTTGTTCAGTCGAATTTTCACTTTCAATCCCAGAGTACCCCTCTCTTAGAAGGACTAAACACTGATAACTGCTCAGTTGTGTAGTCAAATGTGAAGTCCAAATCCTGCAGCGCTACGAGATAATACAAAAAAGAGAGAAATTTGCTTACCAGAAAGAATCCCCATATGAGGAACCTCGACATGATACTTCTCGGGGTCTCTCTGTAGTGTAAGATTATCTTTCCTGCCTGAAGAGTTGAAATAAACAGTCAAATAATGACGATCGCGTGTTCAGCAGTAACAAACAATATGAAGGAAAAAACATTCCAAACCTGCAATCCAAAAAAAGCCATGAGAACAGAGTTGATGCTGCCCAGAACGCCTTCAGGATCATAAGGCATGTGAGTTGCATAAATGACCTGAATAGAAAGTACAACAAAAATTAGCTTTGATTAAGTTCTGATACTGTCTGATGTTTAATCACCAGTGATGTTAGCGAAAAACAAAACAAAACGACAGGTACACACAAATAAAAGAAAACTTTGTTACAGTTGAGTGGCATCACTTGTTACGAACCCGTGAGGAAGGATTCTGGTAGATGTGGTTTTCTCCCAACAGCCAACGGTCGATGAGACCAGCTGCTCCTCCCGTGCAGTTAGCATAGAGGCCCATATCACCGATCCCACCAGGACCCAGATAGCCCCTGTACAGAGTGGAATTAAACCAGTATTATTGATATGAGCCATACACACACACATACACAAGAAAGAATGGAGATTTGGAATGAAATCTTTCCTCCCAAAATGTCATGCTTTGTATTTATTTACTTTCTAACTTTGCAATAATTTAACTGTCTGAGTTCTAAAATTAAATTAATGTTAAGTATGACTAAGTTTTATTTGAGAAATAAAGAGGGAAAATAAAAATAAAACTGTGTCCTATCTGCATCCCCATTAGAGTTTTTCATCTCATCAGTTCCTTAAGGCTAACCAACACATTTAAAAAATGTGTTTTTATTAAGACTTAAAAGAACCAAAAGGAGAATTCCTGAGGAATTCAAAATGTATTTAATAGCAATCTCACAAGTCCACTCTACTTGAACTCATACATCTTTAGATCTTCCTTATCCTGACCTTGAGGCCAGCATTCATTACAATAAAAGGGTCACCGAACACTAACTGCTTTTAGTTAGTGTTTAATGTCTTTTATCTTTCATTTACATCACTATCATGAAACATAAATGCCACCTCTTGTCTATGCATTCATGAAAATGCATCAATGCATGTCATTTATGCATATTTTCTATTTATTGTAACTATTTATGTAATCTCATTTGTCAGCAATAGTGTTCATTTTTTTCTGTAGGAAGTATAAAAAAAGAAAATCAAGAGCATTTCTAAATATGCAACAATTTTATAAAGTCATGTGCTTACAAAAAATCAAGTAGATTATTTTACAATAATCTGGTTAAAAGACTATTTGGTAGTACTGCATTACTACAACCACATGGTGGTGGCAATGTGATGAGCTTTTTGACTAAATGTCTTGGAAATATCTTAACATTTTCGTCATCGATGCATTGAAACATCTACAACTGTACCAAAACACGAGACTGACATGCTTCGCCTTGCTGTGCGACTTACGTTGGGCAGCCTGGTACGGGAAGAAGGAAAGTGAGGCACAGCCAGGTGATTTCCAGAAGGAGCACACACAGCCAGGCTGGCCAGTACAGCAAGATGTCCCGAATGGGAGACCACCAAAAATCCTCGGAAAGACAAGCGAAGCAAATTAAATGAAGCGATAAAAATGCATACTCCCTTTAATTGTTTAAAAGTTTAGAGGATGGGTAAAACAAAAAAGCTGCCAGCTCACTGTTGTGAGTATGTCCAGGTGTCCTCTGGCCACCAACAGGTCCAGGCTGGCCACCGCCAAATACGACCAGGCGAGGCGCTGCAACACACCGGGGATTCGCAACGTGTCCCACGACACTGTGGAGCATATGCACGCCGGCCGGTTTCAACTCAGACTCCGGCACAAAACACAACAGATTTACCCTATAATGCTGCGTGCATCCTATTTTTTTTTACAAATAGAGCTTCTGAAATCTTTCGCATCACTTTATGGTAAAAATTGATGCTCCAAACCCTGTTGAACACAAACTGATATACCTATTAGCAGTGAGCAGAAGACTACACTCCAATAATTTCAACTTATGGTCGATAATAAAATATTTTTAAAAATTGTTAAAGGGGCAAATGATACGACGGAGGATTAGAGCCACATTTAAAAAAAAAAAAGAAATATTTGGAATTAATTACGCTATTTAAGTAATTGATTATGGAGAGAATGAATTGCCAGAATAAAGTCATAAACGTTATATCCTATTTTACAGGAAGATGGTTGATAAACTGAGGGCCGTGGAGCATGCTGTGGAAATGTACTTTAGAATAGGTTTCACAAACAAGGATATAATTAATCTTTTGACACGGGTATCAGGGCATTAAAAACAATTTGCAAGAAAATGCATCTATTCCGCACAAAGAACCAGGTGGATTTCTCACCATATTCATTAACAACTTTAATTTCGGATTAATTCCCCCCAATTTTTTGGGTTAAGAAAGCTAGAGATAAAACCACACATCCACAGATTGTAACCAGAAGTTAGCAAATGACCTATGACTCCTTTACCTTAAATGACCTGAAAAAAATTATGAGGCAACTCCGACAAGGCGGGTTTATTCTTACAGGCCCCCTGGCAGTAGTTCGGGTTGATGATTAAAACGCCGATGACGAACAGCTGCGTGCTCCTCCAGGCAACTTTCCTGAGCAGCAAGCAACGGCTGGCGCCCGCGCGCAGTGAGGCGTTGATGGACAGCGCGATGGACGTGCCCATGATGAACACGAACCTGCAAAAGGGCGAGAAAAAGGAAAGAGCGGCAAACTCGCTCAAGCAACTGAGGGGGTCCAGTTTCACACCACACAGAAAAAAACGTAGCTGTAACCTTTATAGTCACTCTCTAAAGAGGTTAAGGAAAGCAAAGCCCAGACTTCAGTTCATATGTAAAGAAAGAATTGAAATAATACCCAAACTGATCTCACCAAGGGAAGACGAGATCTGCAACTGTGAGACCTGCAAAGTCAGAGAAAGAAGCACGTGGTGACAACAGTCTGCTTTTTAAAAGACAAATGGTTTGTACATTTTTTTTTCAATTAATTATTAATGGGGTTGAGTAGGGCTCACCATTCCAGCTCTCGTGTTTGAAGAACCAGTACCGACCCCCTCCGTAATTCACAAACACCATAATGACCAAAGAGATGCTGACAGAGACAGAGAAAGCATCAGTTAGTCAGGAGCGACTGATCGCCTGTACAAGCAAACGCATACAGATTTGTTAGTTTGAAGTTATTCATAAAAAATATAATGAACTAATCACATAGCTCCGGTGTGACGGCAACACAGAGTAACCGAGTTCGGCTGTTGGAGCTCAATACATATGATTACAAATTAATCTTTTGAGGGGTAAATCATTTAATATCTTTTACTTAACAGACTGAGCTAGAGGGGAACCAACCCTCTGAATGTGTCCAGAGAGCGAAGCCTCCTGTTGGGGCTGGGTGGGGGAGGTAAGATGTTGTCAGTAACTGGTGTCTCTATCCGAGGGGAGCCCAGTTCCTGCAAGTTAGAGTTATGAAATGGCTTTATTCTATCCCAGACATATTTGACTTCCATACATAGATAAGAATAATAATAATAACGCTGAAACACATGGGAAAAAATTGATGACTTTGTGACATACTTGTCAAACCCTAAAAATAAAGATGCCTTTGGGTTTCTCTTTTTCCCTGTCCAACTTCCATCACAGTTTGATAACATTATTTCAGTTACAGGGCGTTTTGCCCGAGCTCCCGCTGGGGATGACTCACAGAGTTGATGAGTCTCTCCGTCTCCATGGCCCCGCCGATTCGGAGGACAAGGCCCCTGACCACATCCAGTCTGGACGAGAGAGAGTCGACTATTTTAGCAGGCATTCTGTGGCATATGGCGGTCACCAATTCAATTCTGCTGAGACCCTTATAAAGCTCTGCGCCCAGGATAATCACACAAACGCTTTGACACAGAATAACTTTCCTGAGAATAACTCAAATTTAATGTAACCAGGATGTCATGAATACTGAATAATTGAAAACTCATCCAACTGTGGTTGGATGAGTAATCAAATATTAAAATGAGCTTGTTTCAGTGAGGACCACTTCAGACAAACGCTTCATTTTTCAACATTGGTGGTTGCAGTGGCTTTTAAAAGTCTCCGTTTTCTTCTGGCAGCACACTGCCTTTCAGTGTGCTGCCGTTGAATGCCCGAGGCAGAGCGAGCAACAGAAACATACAAAAAACCTCCAAGAAACCAGCATCAAAAGCACTCCTTTTTAACTTAAGTTCCCTTCAGAGCTGATTTAGGGCTGGAACTTCTTAGTCGCTTCACTTCAGAATCGTATAAAACTATCTTTGTTCTCCACATAAAGAGGAAACATGCCGAGATTATGAATGACAATCCATGCGGTTCGCCGCGCAGAGTACACAATCACCCGCTGGACATATAAAAGCAATCAATTGTGCAAATATGATAGAACTGCTTGCTCCTTGAGCTCCAGTTTTATGGCTTTATGCCAGAGCTTTGGACAATGAAATGGAACAAACTGACTCTGGCTGAAACTGGATCTGTTTAAAAAAGGGCCTTCAACATGGTTTGTGAAGATGGGTTGGAAAGTAGTTCGAGGAGAATTTTTTCTGTTCCAAAAAGATTGTTCTGAAAGAAGTTTATAGAAAAAGACTTAAATCAGGGAAACTGTACTCAGAAGATCAGTTAATGAGCAACTAATCAACCTATTCTCTGAAACAGGCTCAATAGGCAGACAACACAAAAATATATATAAATAAATTAAAGATAAGCTTACCCTAATAATCTTTTTCCAACAGCAAACATCAAGGCCAATCCAACAAAGATAAAAAAAGAAACCAAGATCGCTGTATGGAGAGAGTGGAACATTGTTTAGTAGCATGTAACTTATACAAGAGTGGCAAGAAATGAAAACATTGGACACGCCGGCATGTGATACAGGCTTCGAACTGTCTGCAACACGCACGTATGTAGCTGTTCACGGGGTCCGCATCCATCACTATGGAGCAGTTGGCAACCGAGGGCTCGCTGATGTTTTTCATCCACAGCGAGTAGTTCCCGTGCTCCCCAAAGTGGAACTGCACCCTGGGATATACGAACAAAACAACCAAGTTAGCCACACTTCAGCAGCTTTCTCGAAAATTATTTTACTTCTGTATCCAGTTTGTCATTCGGCTTTGTTTTTGTGAGAGAATAACCTAACAACTGTGATCAATATTCCACTTTAGAGGGTGTTTGTGAAGCCATCGGAGGTAGTTTACAGCAGAAACTGTGGCTCTGAGAAGCAGCGATGCAGTACTAAGCATCCGTGTGACCACATGATGGATGCCAAAAGGAAGTGTATGTAAAAACTCACTTGCAGAGTTCCAGGTTCAAGGGAATACTGCTGAGCTGCAGCGTCATTCCATGCTGCGTGTTTACAGGAAAGCTGACCGAACCGGGCTGGCCGGTGCTGGGCCCCCGAGGTGCCACCCCAAGATCCTGGTACAAGCACTAAAAGACAGAAGAAAATGACAGCGCCACACTAGAACCTTCTCCACATCCATTTGGAGGAAAGCGTTTGAGACCAAGGACCTTACCTGGTAGCAGCGTTCTGACCTCCAGGACACCAGCACCTCAGTGTTCAGCTCGTTATTGACGGTCAGTAGTGCTTCATCCATCTTTACTGAGGGATGCTGGTGGTGATGGTAGTCAGCTAGAGAGAAAGAAAGTAAAAAAAAAAAAAAAGCTAATTAAAAACAGCAGAACCCACAGTACTGATCAGCTGAAATCTATTACCAAGCAGCTATCAGTGGAATATGCAAATGAGGCAGCTCCCTTCAGGTCTCTGTAGCTGGACAAATCCAAGCTTTTCCTCGCTATCCAGCCATGATCAAATAACGCCAAACATCAGAGGTCTAAGAAACCATGTCAGTAATCTGTTCATTATTCGAAGGGACTGCACATGCGCAAAACAAAAACCCAGCCTTCGTAAATACGCGTTGACATAGAAACTGCTGATTCTCAAAAGCCTCCAGCTGTGCTGGATAGCCAGCCACGAGTCCTTAAGGGACAAAACAGTCTATCGTCTTCCTTACCGGGGTTTGGAAGCTACAAGCTAAAGCCGAGCGGCTAACGTTGCTGTCCGGAAGAAACGGAGCATGTGAGAGGGCTGCGGCGGAGAAACGGCTGCACAGTCCCGTGGTCACATGCCGCGTTAATCCGTGAAATACCCCCCAAGAGGGAAGTTCAAATGGTAACTCCAGCTTTGAACCCTTCCCCGTTCTGTGCTAACCAACAAACAGTTGGCCATGAACCAGTAGCGTAAACAAAAACAAAAAAACATACGCTTAGTTTGGCATTTTCTGTTGTGGTGTAAATGGAAAACGTTGACGTGGTTCATATTTTTTATTTGTATTATTCTTATTGTTGGATATTAAGAGAGAAGCTACATTGCTAACACAACAACTAGGGTCCTGCTTTTACTTTGCTCGTTCTGCACTCACGTAGATATAGTTCAGCTGTCAGCGGGACCGCGCAAACGGCCAACACCAAAGCGACAGCAGCAAGGTGAAAAATATAATTTCCGTCCTGTTTTGGCATTTCTTGGTCCTTTTTCAGTTTTACCCCGGGAACGGAAGCCGGTTTCGCGTTTTCCTTTAATTTCCTTTTTGCCATAATACATACCACTTCCCATAGCTCCTGATTTTGACTTTGTAGTGGGAGCGAGAAGGGACAAAGTACATATATAAATAACTGTCGTTATTGCGTCGCTGGTTTGATAAGGCGGCAGTTTTGGTCCTCAAATATTTGAGGTGCCGTGTGTTGTAAACACATGGTGTCGCTTTTGCTGGAACAAGGCGTAAATCACAGCACTGTTCTATACAGTTGTAGAAATCAACAACAATGCGTGACATCACAACGCAACCTCCAGTTGGTTGCTCTAAGGGTGGGCGTTATGAGCAATTTTGGTTTTGATCCTGCACCAAATAAGTAAGGGTATACTAGTTTCGCATAGCGAAAAAATGCTTAGAGTGAGTGGGGAATAACTGGGATAAATAAATTCCTACTTGTTGCTATTTAGAAGTTTCTTTCGTCTGTATTGTGTTAGTTTCCCCGACTCATCCAATGTTTTGTGTTTAAACTCCCATAAATACAGGTCCCGTCTGCCATTGCACAAATGAGCTTTTTTCTCAAGATTGATATAGGCCTGGACAACCACCATCAAGCCACGTCTCCCACACGTGTTGTTCTGAATTTCTTTTAAGAATTACTGTGATAACTATTTAAAAAATAGTTAAAATAATAAATAAAAAAACTTCAGAGGCAGCACAGAACCCCACAAATTAACCTGAACATCCTCACATGTTCACGCTGATAAACGGATGCATTCAATTCCTAAATAACTCTTTGAACTGACATCAAATCCTATGCCCAATGCTTTTTTTACTTTTGTCAGTCATGTTCATCCTATAACGACCCGGTGACTTTTGTGTACCATACACTCCACCACAACTGTCCCAGCTGTATTTGAACGTCTAGTGACGCATGCGCACACGTGAGTAAGGTAGGCTCTCCAATCGATTACAGAGTATATCCACGGCAACACCCGTCACTTTAATCTCTCACAATGACAGACAAATCAAGTGCACAGAAAAGGTAAAACGAATTTAAAGTACTCTTCACCACTTAGTATTGTTTGTTATGTAAAGCTAAAAAAAAATGCCACGGCCATGTTGCCATCTATTCCACGAGCTACAGAGACATCCCATTAGCAATTGAAGCTAACACTGTCAAACATTTGTTTATTTTTTGCAGCGTCAAGATAGCCGCAGGCGCCGTAGTTTGTGTCGAAAGTGAAATCAGAGGAGATGTTACGATTGGTAAGACATCTTTCAGCGTGTCATTCAAAAGTTGAGATTGTTTTTTTACAACTTATATATTATTACTGTCCCCTCAGGCCCGAGAACAGTGGTCCACCCCAAAGCTCGTATTATTGCAGAGGCAGGACCCATCGTGATAGGAGAGGGCAACTTGATCGAGGAGCAAGCTCTCATCAAAAACTGGTATCAAAATAATTGTTTTAGTTTGTTTAATTGTTATAGTGTGCCTATCCGGTTTAATAAACCATAACCAATAATGCCTCAACATAAGCTGCAACTTTGTTTGTTCTGAATTTCTTTCAGTTACCCAGAAAACATCACACCAGACACTCAGATGGAACCAAAAACGATGACAATTGGTATCAACAATGTGTTTGAAGTCGGCTGTGGTATCCTTTTAAGCCTGTCTGTTAGCTGATTTCAAACTGTTATACATGCAAGTAAATCCGTTTTGCCTTAAATTGAAACAACCAGTGTCACAAGCCCTAAAAATCGGCGACAACAACGTGATAGAATCTAAAGGTAGGGTGTGAACATAATGCCAGTTGGCCAGTCTTTGAGATGAAGTCGCTGGTGGAGTCAAAATATCCTCTGCTTTGTGGTCTAGCGGATGTCGGGCGGAATGTGATCCTCACCAGCGGCTGCATCATTGGAGCCTTCTGTCAGGTCAACACCTGCGAGGTCATACCCGAAAACACTGTCATCTATGGCTCTGGGTGCATGAGGAGGGTCCAGACGGAGAGACCGCAGGTACCCATACGCATGCAGAAAAACACCCCGGGCTGGGGATTGCATTTTCAAAATGAACTAGGAAATAGAACATGTATAAACCCATTGGGGCCCCTATTGATTTGTTGATGCCATACCCACTTTGTTTGTGTTCATTTGAAACCATTTCGTTTAAAGGATTTATCATGGAGGGCGACATGGGTGTGGTGGTTAGCACCATCGCCTCACAGCAAGAGGGTTCTGGGTTCAAGTCCCTGGGGAAATTAGGACATTAGGCTTCCCCCCCACCATCAAAAAACCTGCATGTTAGGTTGATTGGACATTCCAAATTGCCCTTAGGAATGAGTGTTTGTGGTGGTTCGTCCGTGTGTTCCTGCGATGGGTGTACAATAGCTCCAGTCCCCGACCCCATTTCGGAATACAGAAAATGGAATGGGTTTAATAACTTTGATAAGACATCTCCATTTGTCTCCACAGCCACAGACTCTTCAGCTCGACTTTCTGATGAAGATTTTGCCCAACTACCACCATCTGAAGAAGACCGTCAAGCCAGGCCAAGCGACCAGTTGAAGTTTCACAGCTGAGCTTAAATTGGCCACACAAAAACAGAAAAATCGTGTCCAAACTGATTTGGTTGGAAGTACGAGTGTAAATAGTTATAAATACGAAATCGGTCGGTGAACTGTTTTTCTGCCATTTCCTACTTCTGAGCTGCAGAAAGTATTTCATCTTGTACTCTGTTTTCTATGATTTAATAAACGACTTCAAGGAAAAACCTGGAGGTGCTTAAATCCATCAACACAACAGTCTTTAGGCGATTATTTGCAACAGTTTCATTTATTAAAAATGCGGTAAGTTCCAAAAAAAACAATAGTAATTTAAACCACTATACCATGTCTCTGAAAAGTAACAGCTAAGAAACATTCGGTAAATCGCAAATAAAAGGAGAAGATGCTTTGTGCGGGAGGTGACCTACCGTCCAGGATGAGGTTATTTTTTCTTTTTAACCTCTATTTACAACTGGGATGAAGAGTCGCCATTAAAGACCAGCTTGCTGCTAATCTAAATGAGACCTTAATAACACTCGTTTGCTACTAAATAAATTATCGGGGAATTATTTACATGCTGGGCTCCTTCGCGTTTGGGTGGCGCTAAGTGGATGTGGTTTCGTTAGCAGGCGTTCACCGTCCGTTGTGATTTTCTCCTCCAGCGTCTTTCCGTTTTCATCAGCAAACAATCTGAGAGGACTCTTCAGCGACAATTACAGTCGGCTTGCTATAGTCGAAGTCTAATTATCACAGAGGGGAATGCAAATAAAGGAAACGAGCTAGTCTCTTTGACGTCAGCCATGTAAAGTCTTTGTATTGGGGTCCGTGGCTGTTTTCTACCAGCTTTCACGTTTCGAATCATGCCGAGATTCTTTTATTTCTTCGCTGGCACGCCTTCTGAATAGTCCTCCAGAACCCCTGCCAGATGATTGTTGTGGGTCTTGAAGTGTCTCTTCCTCTGCCCGCTGTTCTTCTTTCGGCCTTGAACCGGTAACTGGAGGAGAAAGGAAAAACGCGCGTACTGATACTTCTGTGCATGGACAAATATGAGTGTTTAGAATGAAAAAGCATGGAGGAGAAGGGGGATAAAAAACAAAAACAAAGACACTGACCACTTTCTTTGGTCCGGTTTCTTGCATGGAGGAGATCCCTTGTTTTTTCAGGTACTCTTCGATCTTTTCCTCGTCCATGGAGTCTACCGGGACACTTCTCCACAGCTTCTGGAATTCTGCGGTTAAGAAACGACTGTCTTAAGAAGTGCGAGGATGTGCCATACCCATTCATGTGTGTTAAGGGCAAACAGATCCCAATTCTGGAGTAAGACACCGTGCACTTAGCAAATCATTTGGACAAAGCTAAAAAAAAAAAAAGTCCTATGGTGGACAAAACGAGCTGTGAAAAATCAATGACAGCTTTCGCATTGATCCGAGTGTAAACTTGTGGGTCAGAATTAATGGGAGGAACGAGCCCTACTCGGCCTTTAGTTACGATTCAAACCTGGTGGTTTAATCGCACCGGAAAGTGGCTCCATATTTATTGTCTTCTAAGCATGGTGAGGGACAGTTTGGCTGCATCCAAATGACAAAAGCTTATTTACAGGCATACTTAAGGGTTATTTAGATCAAATTGTACTTTGGAGAAGACAACCATGCTCAGCCCCCCCTTTTTTGGGAAGACTTGACCTTCATTAGAAGGGAAGCTTAAAATAATGTCGATCAGCAGCAATGGTCTCAGATATTTTCAGGACGTGAAAGAATTCCTGTCTCATCGCCTTTTTCCCTCCTCAGGATTTGTTTCCAGATAAGCACTACTTGTTGGAGTGAATTAGTATCACATCAAAGCCTCCCTCACTCAGCCCAGTTTATTCACGTCTGACTGGTCGAAAACAAAAAAAAAAGAAGAAGAAAGAGCTGGACTAACATTTCTGTCTTCGTTAAGACTTCTTAATCACTCCCTGAACACTGACAGATTACTCTTCTCCATCCTCACCTTCATCCACAACAAAGTGACAGTGCCTGTCATTGTAGAACAGGATCTTTTTTTTGTCCGGTCTGGTTACAAAGATGATCTGATCCCCCAGTGCCTGGATAAAAAAAAAAATTAAGAATGCACACCAGATGTAATTTTTTTTGCATTTTTTTTTTTAGTTTTTTTTAAGTCAGCCTTCAGTACGTTTTAGCCCAAAGTCCATCTCTGTCACCTTGATGGCTTTGGCTGAATTCGGGAGCCCCTCCTCCACGTCGTCCAGCAGCACCCCTCCGAGGCCGAGCTGGTCGTGTTTGTCCAGCAGCCTCAGTAAGGCTTTCTTGTCTTTCAGGTTGTACTTGGGCTTGAAGCCGTAGGTCCCGTCGCGGACTTCGATTTTTGGGTTGCTGACCAAGGCCTGAGGTAAAAGGTAAAGTGGTGGTGGCAGCAGGTTATCAGGCTCATTTAACATAAACAATATAAGTGGAAAAACAACTCATCTTTAAATGTCATGAGGGCAGAAAAAGAAGAAATTCTTAATTCCGTGTTAAATAAGATGGTGATGTCAGTTATATGGGCTCACCTCGGTCATGAGCCACTGTTTCTGTTTCATGCTGATGTCGAGAAGTTTGGTCTCATCCAGAATCTCGTCGAGGGTCAGGAAGTGCGTGTCACCGCCCTGATGCCTTGTCTGTGCGTTAAGGAGAGAAACCCAGAAAATAACTTGTTTGAAAACGCACAAAACTCTTTTATTTTGTATAACTGCCTAGAATTTAGGGTGCCACTGCTGATAAAGGCCCGGTGCGAACAGACAGATGGCACAAGGAGTGCACGTATTCAGACCAAAAGCTGCCAAGCCGAGTGCGAGTTCAGCAGAGAGGGGTGACTCAGACGGGGCCCAAGCATGATAAACAAGCTGTTTGTGTTCCCAGGGAAAGGCAGGGGGCCAAATGCTCCTCGGAACACGCAAGTGACTCATTCTGCGAGTTACATTTCCCTGAAGCTCCGATGGAGTTGACGACGTGCTTAAAGTCTGAAAGCTGAGCGGATGCTGATGTGAGCTGCTTCAACCAGCAGGGGGGGGATATGAACTTTATTACAACATACAATGACCATCTCCCTCTATGCAAGCCGGTGTATTCCAGCTAAAATGTCTCCTCGGTGGTTACCTTCATGTAGTTGACGATCTTGGCCAAGCAGCCAAACTTGTATCCAGAGCTGGCCTTGATGTTGAAGTTCCCATTGGAGGATTCTGTGGAGAAAACCAAAGAACCACGTGTTTATGATGGCAGTAAATTATCAGACAGGGAAAACTATACACACACATATATATATATATATATAAACACACACAAACAGACAAACACTTCAGGAGCATTTAAGGCAGCAAACCAATCAAACAATGACCTGTGTTTAATATTAACAATAATAATCCTACAGTCACATGAAAGAGTGATCTGATAAGAATAAGATCCCACACACACACATCTCTAGCTCTGGACTCAGAGCTTTCAATCAAAACTGAAAAAGGGACACAGACTCCTGAATGATTAATGGTGTGGGTGGGAGCCCCTGAGGCTGGGAGCCACACAATGGGGGCCGGACGCTGGAATCTGTGGCAGGGCGGCTGACGAATGGCGCGCAGGCTGGGGGGTAAAAGAAGAGAGCCAATGACCGGTGAGGAGGGGGTGTTCTGTTCAGCGGAGACATGAAGAGTTGCAAGGAGTGGCGGAGGAGGATGAGGAGGAGGAGGAGAGCGGGTGCACGAGGGACGGCGGGTAGTGCGCGAGTGCGCCAGGGAGGAGAGCAGGTCGAGGCGTGATCCAGACAGAGTGGAGGACCGAGAGAAAAAGGCGGAGCACTGAAAGGCAGGAGAGACTTCTCATCTCCGGCAGACTGAGCCGCACGCGCGCAGGTGAGTCTTCGGGGGGTTTTTGTGACGCGCAGAATTCTTTTCATAGCAGCGGCGTGTTTGATATCGACCGATCTGAGAGAGCCACAGCTTGAATTTCAAGACGCAGGCTGCTCCTGGACTCTGTGAGACTGTGACTGTGTGCCTTCCAGTGTGAGCTGGGCACGTTTAAACGCATTTAAAAAGCTGCTAAAATACAAAAAAAACCTAGAACTGTGAATGTTTTCACCTAACAATGTGTTCATAATGGTATGTTCTTTGAGACAAAAAAACAAGTGTTAAATGTAAAGACTATTATTGAGGCTAAGACAGCACACCCACTCACTGGATTAAATAAACATGGATGTGTCTGAGCTGCACCAGACCGTCTCTTTCTGTGTCGGCGTGTGTGTGTGCTCACGGGCATCGAGCCTGTGTTTTGTGGAGATGCACGACTCAGCACGGCTCTCATGACAAATCAATGAAGGCTGCAGGCAGCCAGGCGGCATTAGGAGTCTGATGCGTGTGTTCATAGCTGATGAGTCCAGGGTAATATCCCCCAGAAGCCTGCTGGCCAATGGCTGGGGTGGGGCTCACTCTGGAAAAAGGGGGGGTAACAGATGCTGCAGGGAGCCAGACCGTCCTCATTATGTGTGTTGTTACTCAGACTAAAAGGAAAGGAGCAGAGGAAAGATCCCGGAGTGCAAGCAATTCGTTTTTATTAAAGAGGTTGTTGCCATGGCAATGAGTTGGAGGTAAACTGATGCCAAGCGTGGACTGTGTGAGGTGAGGGCATCGACCAAACACCATTAAACCATCAGCACCACAGGAATCTTTCTTTTTTTGATTCTTTTTCCTGCTGGACAGACGGACGAAATAGAAATAGCTGAAACCCCCCCAAAAAAAACAGGTGCAACCAATGAAGCCCAGTGTGGCCGTTACTCTTAAAACACACACAGATGATTAGTAAAATGTGCCTGTTCTCCACATGGCTGCATCACTCAGAGGTCGCAGCTTTCTGTGGGAACGGGCATAAAAAATTTACCCGAGAAAAACTGGCGAGTGCGAAGAGGCGCTTTCCGCTACTCCTCCTCAACTTGGTTTGGTGCGCTTGGGCAATCTGGGTCATCGGCCTCTCCGTGCGTACAGTGTGCGTTGTGATGGTGTGTGTTAGACATGGGCTGAGGATTTGAAATGGTGGATGTTGGGTGACAATGTGAAGGGACGACTGGAGAGAGACAGGTGGTCTGACCACGGGCCTTCTGAAGAACATCTTTCAACTGTTTAAATCAGGAATGACACCCAGCTTTTTTAAAAGCCCATCTCTTGCTTTCAGCTGTAGCCTCCGGTAGGTGCTTTACTCAGATTCCACAGTGCCTTCTCGGGTTACCGAACGCTAGTGATACAGCGCCAGCAGAATCCAATTACAGAGAATGCCCTCTGAGAGGCCGTTTCTTTCTAACCCGTCTTCCTTTACATTTTCAGCCTTGTTTGATCCATACTGTTGGAGATCATGGCGAACATCACAACAACCGTGCACCCCAGCAGTCTCCCGTGGCGCCCCGAGGCCGTCCCTCTGTCCCGCGTCTCCCTGCAAGTCCAAGAGGTCTACCCCTTCCACGACGGCTGGAACGTGGCCTGTTTCATCATCCTCCTGCTTTTCATCCTCACCGTCCTGTCTCTGGCCGCCTTGGCGGTTCTCTACGAGCTGCTGGACTGCGGGTGCTGCGCCAAAGGGAAGACGCACCACCAGCTGCAGGAAGAGGGGCCGGGAAGCTGCAGCAAGCTCATGACCAGCATTTGCAAGGAGCCAGAATCCCACACCGAGGTGGTATAGGGTACGAAAGCTCAAAAGGAGACAAAATAGAGTAACAAAAAACACACTCACACAAAAGGGAAGGACACCCAGGCTATTCTTTCAAGTCAAGAGGAAGCATCCCTTGCACATCCATCATCTTTAAACAAACTGTAAAATGCTGTACATAACAAAGTACCTGGATATAAAACCATACAAAACATGCATCTGCTGCTTAAGTATGAGGGCGGGGGCAGAATACAGCAGGCAGGCATTCTCTCTTCCTACAGAGAGTATGAAGCTGCTTGCTCGGAATACTGTATGTAAAGAGAGATGAATAAATAAAAACCAATCAGATATGTAAGATGTCACTGGCTAAAAACAAACCTAAGGGTTCATTCTCAAAGACAATGGTCCTGGGCTTTTTGTATATATGTGTAAATGTGACCTGCTGGATGCAGCTGATCTTTTATGAGTTGTGCTCTACATAAAAATGCTGCCCCACATGGAAGACTTGAATGTCTTTGTTTGAATGGACAAAGCTGAGCTGAGACATGTTCAATTTGGGTGAAGCCTGTGATGCCCGTTTGCCACCACACCGCGGATGTACAGCGTGTTTGCCATGCAATATTTTTCTCATCACGACTTTAGTAGCTGCACAGTGATATACCTTATGATGTCATACTGAGCGCAATGTACCATGTCATAGGCCTTAGCACACACTGCCTAATAAAGGTCCACTGAAATAGTTCAGATTGGCCCGTTTGTTTTTTCTGACACGCTGCCATGGGGTGATAACTGGCTGCGGCTCGAATTCGGGCACATTGGATTGCTTCTGTTTAGGAGCAATATGCGGTGCAGTGATTTAGCAGCAGGAACTCACGCTTTATCAGGAGGAACTGGAACAACTGAAGAGCTATTTCATCCAATACAAAAAAAGAAGACGCCTATATAAATGCCCTGGCTGATATTCATGATATAAGTGTGACTAAAAAGATTCAGAGTGAAGGCATCAGGGGAGCAGAGTTAGATTTGTGGCACTGCTTATTCAGTGAGGGGGAGGGATTTTCGAGCATGTTGTGATGGCAGATATTCACACTCTTTTTTTGGCAGTGTCCAACACTCCCCCCACACAGGGTATGCCACACAGAGAGCTGTTCCACACCAGCTACCATCACAGGGAGCTGCACTACGAAACCCTCCAACACAGCTCGGACCCGTGCAGGCTCAGTACGCGCGCACCTCACAAAGGCATCGACTGCTGTTCTGCCATTAAAAGATGGAACTCTGCAAGCTCCCGTATGGAAGTTATGGTTATTTTTAAAAAGATTGCCTCAGTAATTAATAAAACCAAATGAAAATATTTCTGGACTCGATTTGAACGCTGCAAATGCAATTTCAGATATATTTTCTGCCAGAAGCAGCCTACGTCTCTTCGTGTGGCTTTAAGACAGAGAGAGCTTGCAAAGATGGATAACAAAAAACTAAATATCAATGATTGTTAATGCACAATTGAAAATATATTTTTAGACGATTACATAAAGTACTGTTTGCTAATGATAGTTTATAAATGCATCAAAAAGATCCATTTCTAGACAATCTCTCCACTGAAATTCACCACAAAACAAAGACTGTACTATTTTCCAATCACAAGATGGAGGCACAGAACTACATTCTGTTTTTACATTAAAAATCAAAAAGCCCTGAAGCTAAATTGTTAAAATTCTGTTAAGATGTTATCCAGACAGTGTTAAATTCATCACAAAGTCCAATTAGTTTTGAAAATTAGTACTTGTCTTCGAGGGTTTGACCATCGCTACCCGAAGAAATGTAGACGGAAGAGCCCCAATATCGTTACTAGAAACGCTGACAGAGGCTGTTACTGCATGCTGTTTTGAAACAATGAGACTCCTGCTGTTGCTGAATAAGTGGTTCTGACAGGGGCAAAAAAACAAGGAACGAAGAACAATGAAATCAGCCTTGTGAAGTATTTTGGCTGAAAATTATTGGAAAGACCCACAAAATGCCAAGACAGCTTAAGAAATTAGAGAGCATTTTAAATAAGAAGCCTTGACAGGCTTGCAGACTGAATAGCTCTAGTCTACCATCAGAAGTCCACTTCCAGTTAAACATAAAAGGCTTTGGTCAAGGCTCGACTTAGCCAATCAACCTTTATCGCACTGTCCCAGGATACATGCAATCTTCCAAGAAATTCTGTCACATCCCGCCTCCCCTGAGGACATGTTGAACCCACAAAGCACACTTGAGTTCAGGGCACAGACCGCTTGGAATGCCATGAAAGTTAGCTCAAATAAGAGACAGCTAGATGTCCCATTGTTTAAATGGGCTAAAGTTAGCTGCCCGACAAAAGAAACAGAAAATGATGCAAATGAGAGCAGATCTATTGGGATATGATTAATGATAATGGACATTACCATTTTCAGAGAAAGATTGACTGCTCTCTGTAACAGCATAAACCACATCAGGATCATTTTCTTTACTTACCAGTAGTGTGTTTAGACCCAGAGGAGCTCTCCTTGTCTAGCTTGGGCTTCTTTTTCTTATGGGATTCAGATGCGGCTTGCCTCTTCTCGACGGCTGGAGTGGAAAGAGCTCTCTTCTTGAACAGTTCCCTCTCACGAAGTAGAGCCGGATCCATCCTGGGTAAAAAGAGAAAAAGAAAGAAAACAGAAAAAAACTCAGGAATGGAGACTCTGCAAAAGGCTGCTATACAAAGCTCCTTTGGACTAAGGTTATTTTAACTTTGCTTAAAAAATAACATGATAAAATGTCTCTAAAATGAAACCACTGATATCACTCAAGCATTTGAGCCTATTTGAGCTTTCCCATATAATTTAGTAACTTAGTAATGTATACAATCATGAACCGGGACATAGATGGACTGTTTGGGGGAGAACATTTGGCTTCAACGTCTTCCCTACAGGATATCGATCAGTCGCTGGGTTCAAATGTTAAGCTCTGCTACCTCATAACCACAGCAGAAATTGACCATATCTTAGAAAGGTATATGGCAGGTCAAACCCCTATATTCAACATCAACGTAACTCACCTGTCAATTTTGAAGAATATTCAACGGCCATAAACTATAACAGCTGGTAGTGTTAGCTTCCGGTAATATTTACCCGTAATATTTCAAACCAACGTGGAAATAGCTTATGTTAGCCGATACGGTTACGCAATTATGTAAATATTTAGCATTATCTGTTGATTCTGACGTAACGGTATAAGCCAATAACGACGACAACTTAAGACACGACAAAAACATCAAACATTATGTTGCACCTTAGCTGTTAACCTAGCGTTAGCATGGTCAGTTCAATAGGATCTCGGGGAACGTTACCTGGCGCGTTGTTGCTGATATCACCCTGGGAAAGTGACAAGTTAGTCCGAGAGGACTACTTTCTGATGTAGGACGTAAAACAGAGCTACAGTTTCAGCAAACAAAAGATTTTCCCGTTCTTTCTAACATAAGTTCACGCGTTGGCTAACTCCAAACAAGTTTTTTTCACCTACACAGCACTTCCGTTTCTTGTTCGATTTGTTGTCAATCGGCTTGTAATCCTTGGACGACGTCACCGCGTACGGAAAAAAAGGAATAGAAAAGGAAGTAGAGAAATACTTGACCAACTTATTATTTATTAATTAAATTCAAATTGTTAAGAAGTTTGGAAGAAATAATTATTTACAACAATTATATGTTAGAAAAATAACTAAATTGTAATTTAATACTCGTCGTGAAATATAACGTAAATACTTGTAAAAATCCAACATGTCCACCTCATGACCATGGAGTGATAAAAACACATTTTATATATAGCAGTGAGTCCCAATGTTCCGTAAAAAAGTACCAATGATGTAAGTTCAGGACAGTTAGGCCCCAGGACTTTCCTCCCCTGAGATGGCAACAATTTGCAACACACACTGTGAGGAAACAAAGTTTATTTAAAATATATACAAATAAAAAATAAAAAAAAACATCCCTTAAGATAATGCCCTTTGTTACTTGAAGTATCTTCAGACTATATTGCGAACAAAACATTTTGTATCTTTGTGCAAGTACTTTTTTTCTTTTTTTTACAGAAAGTTGCGTACTACCTCCACCTGGTGGTTTAATAAGGCTACTACTTCTACTACTTAGACTAACAAGAAATGTTACGGCTCAGAATGGTGAAGACAAGAATGAACTCATTTTCAGAAAGCTGATTCAGAGATCAGCGAGTTTAGAAGCTAATAGAATATCATAGGTATGTGACATCTTTCTAACATGAGTCGAATAACTTTTTACAGAAAAAGGATTGGAATTTTGAACGATATGGCTGTTAAACTATAAATTCTGTGTTATTCTTGTTTTAATTTAAAGGTTTGAACATCTTATACTATCTTCAATTCACAAGGCTTCATGTTAAAAATTAAACACGCACCAAAGCCAAGGAGTGGCCTATATGTAAACATGGTCATATACCCCCCAACTTCATCATAAATGGTTTTAACATACAGCAACCTGATCTTTTATATTCCCCCAATCCCACATGAAAAAATTACTGGACCTTTGGATTCACATTTAGTTCTGAAAAGCATAAGTATTCTTATAACTGTGAGTAATGTGCTGCTAAATACATAAAAGTAAAGGGGGTTGGTAGTTTAAAAGACATATCAGATGTGTATTTGGCACAAGGTCATCAGTAGCAGATGCTTTATGCCCTGTGAGTTATTAGATGGAGCTTTCATGGTTTTCGACTAGCATGATAGGACCTCCAATTACACAGAGTATTTGGACTCTCAAAGGATTTTTCCAGAGTCGCAGGGGACGATGTTCTGCTGAAAGAGGCTTCTGCCATTAGGGCTTTCCGCTCTCATGACCAGAGCCTCCCAAGCAGAACGTTGCCTACAACACTACACAGCTTGTTTGCTAAAAATGAATTACTTTTGCTTCTCTTCACACAGGTAAACACAGATCATACACACGTGCCAACCCATGCCAGCAATTAGCCGTGGCTATCTATGACCCTGTTAACCTTTCCACAGTCTTTAAATCCCTGAGTGGGCTGTACCTGTAGACGTGTTACAACCTATCAACCTCGCCATAACCTTACCCCCTTCACTCAAATCCTTATGCTTCCCAACTGATCTGATTAAAACACATCACCTTATGGTCAGAATGTTCATTTGCTGTCTGATACACTTCGTGTTCCAGAGTTCATAATGTCACGGCTGACCAGTTTTAGCCATCATTGCGAATGCCCCGGTCAAAGTGTGTTTTAAGCCCGTTGCAGTCTTCCCTCATCTTTCAAGAAGAAAATCCACTCTCTCTGATGGAACCCATGGAATCATATTCAAACATTGCTCCTTTATTTAGCCACAATGACCCTAAAATCATTATCGTCCACTGATCAATGAGCATGTTTTAATCTCACTTGTCCCTACGTCCTGTATGGGAGTCTGAATTTGGTGAATTGTTGTTGCTCATGCGATTTAGACAGCTGTATAACTTCATCTTACTGAGGCTGAATTCTGCTGACTGAAGAGGGAAGGCAGCCTCACCACTTTGTAATAACATGAGAGAGGAGGTGAGATAAGGCAGATTTAACTCAGTCATCCAAAGATAAAAAAAAGAGAGGGATAAGCCACCAGAAGCGACAAAGTGTGGTGGGCTGTAGAATAGAGCCGTTATTCAGTTCGAGACAAATGTCCTCCAGTTGAGGACGTTTCTTCCAAATAAAACGCTCTGCTCCAAAAGCCAGACGTTCTCTTTGCTGTTATCCCGGAATTGAGGAGGAATTAGTTTCAACCTCGCCTCCTCAGATGTGAACATTAAGTGTCTCACTGCTTCCCTTTTGAGTTTGATTGGCTTGAAGATACTGTCAGAGCGTTTTCTTTGTGAATTCAGTCACTTTGTGGAGCAAAGCACATCAACCCTTTGCTCCACTGGATTTCTATGTTACTGCGCGTGTCTCTTTCAGCGTTCTGTCAGATTAAAGCAACAGAGAGCTTGGGTTCAAATCTTAAGTACTTTTGCTCAACATTTGACTTTGTTTAAAAGATGTATCTGCGGCGTCGGGGCTGGAGGTTGGCAGATAACATGCTTTGAAAGGAAAGAAAAATATCTTATGTCGAGCCATTGCAGTGAACATTTGGTTACCAGATTTTGAAACACTTTGAGGGACACACACAATTGCCTTCAAGTATTTGTTCACCATTAAAAAGAAGAGGGAAAAAAAGAGAGACACTGCGCCTTCAGATTTTGCACGGCTAAATAGATTTTTTCTCCCTGCACAACACTTGAGAGCATAAAGTACATTATCAGGAACTCTACACAGATATTCACATTTGAATGAGAGTGTGTGTTGTGTGAAGGTTTATTATGTTGGATAGATTTTTACATTTACAACATGGTGTCCTCTATTTGCCCCTGTTGCATACTATAAAGAGCTTTAACATTTTCTATATTAAAAGAAATATATATATATCAGAGGGATGTCTGCAGTTTATATGCAATACATGTATGTTTTTACAGATTGTAACCTGGATTTTTGTCCATCCTTGATTAACGACACTCCACTCCTGTATGTGTATGTGCGTACGTTTTTCACTTTGATTTTCTTGCAATGGAACAAATAAGCACCTCTTAAACTCCTAATTAATGATTCAGCAGGGTAGTCGAGCAAGTGAGTCCACATAAATTATTCAGTGTGCGCTAACCCATTTAGGGCCACACAAGCTGCATTAAACATTCTGTCCATTGGTTGGCATCAACATTCTACGTGTTTCGAGATAAAAAACCTGGGTCCTTTATCGGATGCGAGTGTAAATCAGAGTAACTGAGTATGGTGGAAAATGTACACTTAAGTGGCTGGGATTTATCGTTAAAACTGTGAGGAGGTCGTCGAATGTTGAAGGAATGAAGTGTCAGGGATTCACCAAATCATGTAAATCAGGTACCACCAGTGGATCAGCGTAGCATCAACTAATATAGTACAGAATAAAGCATGCTGGAAATAATAAGAAATTCTGAATCTCAAATCTATAAAGTGCATCTGACTTGTTTGACTAGTTTTTAAAGTTCGCCAACATTTGCGATGCACATTCTCAGGCAGAAAGTTCAGATAAAACAGCAGGATGATAGACGGATGCAGAGTTGGCTTGATTATCGCTATCAGCAAGTGATAACTTATTGGTATTCCTGTTCCATCGTGTTTCATTTCCTCAGCCCTGTCAATGAAGATGCCAGAGTGTGAATTTAAATTTCTGAAAAGAAGTTGATCGTTATCGGTCCACCATCTGCCCTGTGAGAAGTATTCATCAGTGTAGACTGGAGACTGTACATGATTCTTTATTAAAATTAACGAAGTGACACATCTTGATTTACTACGATGACTTATTTTTATCTTTTGTTCATAGCCAAGGTGAAACAGTATGGCAGCAAAAGTTTCGCCCATTAATAGTCATTGCTTTGTGTCAGCAAATCTTGCCTCACAGAAGAAATTTAAGGATGAACCTTAACCCAATTTTAGTATGAAATTGATAAGATCTTCTCATGTATAGATGGTTAGTTGGTCGTTATATTTGGATCCAACTGGAGTTGATCACAGAACTCCTGTTATAGAAAAATAGGCTTTGTAGGTATATATGTCTTGGTAGCATTAATCCAAAGTCAGTTTTTTTTAAATATTATCCTAAAGCACATGAGGTTTATATTTTGCAGTCACTCTCTATGTCTCTACATGCAGCTTAAGGCATGTTTAATAAAGAGTTGGCTGAAAAGAAACAATCATAAAGACGCACTTCATTTCAGATAAGAAACTGACAGTAGAGGAAGGGCAGATAAGTAATTCTCTGTTGGTCCATCCATTTTTTAAATTTCTTTTGTCATAGCCAATATGAAAAGGTGGGGGAGGAGGGGGGGCGCAGACAAAGGGCCAGAGGTGGGGTACACGCCGGACAGGTCATCAGTCCATCGCAGGGCCGCACAGATACAAACAACCACCCACACTCACATTCATAAACTGATACAAACAACCACACACTCACATTCATAAACTGAGCCCACGCTTTCGAAGTGCTGCACTGAGGGCCACTGAAATGCCTCATGATGATTTATTTATTGTTATTAATATTTGAAAAAGCTTCCTCAAAAAGGAGGATAATTTGCTTGACTGGTGCTTGAAGCACGACGCCCCGCAACCGCACAGCGGCGGCCTGTCCTATCAGAGCGCCGCTGTAGTCGCCATCCTCATCTCTGCGGGTGGTAACGCAGAACTCAACCTTCCAAGTAATGTTGTTCACATCAGAATACTAAAAGCCCCTCTGGTGTCAGCTGGAAAGCAGTCAACAGAAGGAGAAATCAAATCAACAGCAAGGCTGTCATGTATTTTATTATATTTTTCACCCTTTTTACCACTGCCCACAGTTAGTGGAGGCAATGAGTTGGATAAAGCTAGACTGTCAGCTTAATTGTCAATGTCAACTTCATGTGATTTTCCAGTTAAAGTAGTAAGTATAACTTTAATTCATTTTTTTGACTTGCAGAGAAAATTCTTGCGTTTTTAAAATAATATTTTGTTTAACACATTGTGTCCATTCATTCCCCCTCCCACAACAATACAGTTGTCATATATTCAGCCACTCTCCAATGATTTTAGAAGATCAATCATATTATATGTAAAGAAATGTGCCTCCCAGATATGTCTGCGTTTTCTTTTATAATTAGCAGGTGTCAGCCGTATGGCTTGGTTTGATTTTGAACACAAAAGCTCAGCTGTACAATTGAGACTAAGTGATTTTCTTACATGTGGGGCGAGAACGAGGGAAAAGATCAGCACTGTGATACTGATGTTTTTTCACCATAGGACTCCCAGGCCTCGAAAAATGGATTCACGGATCTGTGTCTTCTCCTCTCCCGCTGAGTTGAAGAAATAGCTGGCAAGCTCTGTTTCCAATGCTTGGCGGCATATGTCTGATGCTCGCAAATAACGAAGGGAGTTATTTTCCTCTACGAACTGAGCATATTTTTGCTCTTCCATGAGAAGAAGCTATCTTTTGATTTTCGACCTACAAGACCAAGCTCAGTTATTTAGCCTCTCGTTAACAGACTAATTACTCAAGCCTGATGTCCCTGTCTTTATTAATAGTCAACAGCCTTTAAGTTACTTGACAAGATGTGCACACACAAACAAATCCCTGTGGGGAAGGAAAATAATGTGAGTATTCAACCTTGCAAGTGATTAGTGAAATATTCATTAATTACAAACGCCTCCACTAATATAAGACCTTCTGTATTCAATATTCCAAAATGCCATTGCATGAGCAGGGCATTTAAATGTTAAAAGATGTGGCACAGTTGCAGAAAAATGCAGGGACTACAAAAAAAAGAGCTTGCAGCAGATAGAAAATTGAAAGTATAAAACCTTGATGAATACGGTACATAGCCTACTACAGGAGGTAATGACTCAAATACTGAAACCTAAATTGATAGGAAGGCAAAAATTCAGTGGAATTCACACATAGATAAGCACTTAAAAATGAAAAGAAAGAAAAAACTAAAACTCAAGTGACACCAAACATAAAAATAAGAATTTTACAAATCCAATGAAAACATTGAAGCGAGACTTAATCAAATCCTACCTCAGAACATATGGAGACATCTTCAGATGTATTCATTCGCTTCTCGGGTGACTCTTTATTTTGAATTAAATTCAATTGAAACAATGTTTTCACTGTAATTGCAAATTCACTGTAAATTGTAATTGCAAACAGTAGTCAACAAACATGTACTTATGCATAACACCTTCTGCAAGTGAATCTTTTCTTAATGTGTTTTCTTATGAGCTTGTCCTTTCCTATGAACTAACATTTTTATCTTTTTTAGTTCTTGTTTTTATTTTGCCCAGGTGGATCTCTGAAAGAGGTTTTCCCACTCCAGAAATAAAAGGGAAGAACTTTCTGTGATTTGAGCTGTTGTCTGTGCTGTTTCACTAACATAGCAAGGAAATAACAGAGAATTTATGGCATAAATCAAGTAAAGTTAGGTAAGCATTTGGTGCATAAGACACCAAATGATCCTTTTGCCATAGCTAGAAAGATAATAAATATATAAACAAATAAAGAAAGAAGGAACAAAGAAAGAAAGAACCAAAAAACTAAACAAATCTTTTTCAAGCTCAGAGATCAAATTGGAAACAGTGAGTAGGTATGTCTCATGAGTAAGTTCAGAGTGCAGTGCGACCAAACATGACAGCATAAAATTGTGTCATAAACATACAAACCTACTTGGCAATGTTTTAGTTTCACCCCTATTTTGTTTCAGAGGTGCATCAGCCCTGTTACTCTGCAAAGAAGGTTCCACGCTATCGTGCACTGACTCATCTCCTTCTCTCGTCTATTTGTTTGAACAAATTTCTTTCTTACACCTTTGTGGGTCAAAGGCTGCTTTCCCCTGACTCATCAGGTTTGTTTTCCCTTATCTGCGGCTCGCTCTCCTCTGTCTGCTCTGTGCTTTTGTTTCCTTTTGAAATGTTTCAGTTCTATTGCTGAAATGATTTTTTAATGAACTCTGGAGAGGTAACTTTTCAAAGCGATTCTTTGTGAGATCTTTTCTTTAAAAATGTTTTTTGTTATTTTCTTAATGTGGTTCAATCAAATTTCAATGCAAGGTTCCTCAAGACTTGTGTCATGCTTGACAGTTGCTTTATATGCATAATTTGAAATTGTCAAATTTTCTATTGTGTCTATAACAACATTTATGAATAGGGCCCACTGGCCATCAAATGTACTGAATGCCTGCTTAACAAAAGCACGTATGCAAATCAAAATGAGTCCCCTACCTTGTCCATTTCTAAATATCTGGACAGTCCATTTTCTTGAATGAGCCTTTTGAATGAATAATTTAGAATTAGGCATCATTGTAGCAGCTCTTCTGCACTAACAATTTCACAAGAGCTCTTGAGTTTGGTATTAAAGCAAAAAAAGACACGGACGTATAAGGCAAGTAGCTGAATTGTACAATTTATGCTAATCACGATAAATAATAATCAATATAATAACTGTAGATAATCAAACAGTGTTTGTAAAAATCTGCTGGAGTCTGCTGCTCTCATGGAGTCTGTAGAAAATAAAAAACTTTGTGTTGAGAGATATCTGAGAGGACGTTAAAAAAGGTTAAAGAACAAACAGACGAAAAGGCCAGATTTCGTCTTGGAGCTACACATTTCCTTTTCCTCTGCATAAAACCGTCTCGTCTCACTCGCTCACCCACTCTCCTGTCATAGCGGATGCATACGGGGACTGGCTCTTGCCCCGCTGTGCTGTCTGTCTCACCCGTGATGCTGATGCGGTGGTAAGCGCTGCCAGCATCCTCGCTGCCGTCTCCACTCGCAATTTGTTTGGCAGAACATGAAGCTTTGAGTTTTGTTTTGGCAGCGCCGTTGGATCTTTCAAGCCAGGACTGGAGACACAAATGGGATTCCACTATTAAGACCACGGTTAGACATTTTCCCAGAGTCAGCGACTCCACTTTGGGCTTCCACTCTCACTGCTCCCTCAATGAGCACAAATAATACATCTTAGTTATGTGAAACAGGATAACGGGTCAAAGGATAAAGTCAACCTTCTTGTCTCGGCAGAATTGAACACCCTCTCCATCCATGCTTAGCTTGAGGAAACCGGCTGAGAGCTTTCCCCCCACTGTCCGATCACGGGCCTTTGCTTCCCATTAATGTTCTTGCTCCTCCTTGACAAGGCGCTATGCTGGGGAGCTCAGCGAGTGCGAGATTTACTGTACCTTTCCCTACCTCGTGCTCCGGTCCCGCTGTCCTGTGAATGAGCCAACAAATTCTCATTCCCAACTTGTCAAATGCTGTCGCTTTGTCAGGAGCCTCTCGAGTCGGTTTTCAATGCACACGACACCCGTTTGTCATCACTTTCCAACGCCGCGCAGGGAACTGGGCCACAGCCGCATATTGCCAGTTATCCTTCTGTGGTGACAAGCGACACACCGCTGTGCCAGTAGTATATGGCCACAAGACAGCCTCCTTCTTCTGCTGCTGGATTATCAACAATTGACCACATAGGGAGATGAGAAGGTAGGATAACATGTGTAATAAATAATATGAAGTGCTTATGAAATACCTGTTGTGGCCAAACTTGGAATCACGATGCACAATGCTGCAGATTTTATTGTTTAAAGGCTCTGGCGAGATGTTTCGTGTTGCCATGGCGCTGTCCTCTGAGTCGGCTACGTCACGAATGCCGAAAAACCCTGCAGCCACTCAGAACCGAGTATTGGTTTGCGCCGTGTTTGGGCCGAGAAGTAGTCACATACATCTATAAAACCCTGAAACCTAACTTGCTGGAAAAGCGTGCAGATTGGTCCTAAGATTTTTTATTTATTTGTTTTTTCCCGTTATGTTGTTTAAGAGAATACGTTTGGCGAGATACTGTCCAATTTTGAAGTTTCAAAATGAGAATGGGTTGTAAATCAGGTCTATTTTACATTTGAACCCAAAATGTAGGGGGTTGCTAACCATAATTAGGCCTTCGCCGATAATTAATAATTTATCCAAAACCAAGACGAAACATCAAATAGAGAGAGAGAAGCTTTTGTGACTTGATGTAACAGATTGAAAGCTTTTCAGTTTCAAAGGTCTGGACTGTGCATTTACTTTCAAGGCTCCACCACCTCTACATACAGCAACTGCCAATTAGATTGATGCTGTCAGTCTCAAGTGAACTGGAGACTGAAATATTCATTTCAGGAGTCATCCATGCTCTCAATATTAATCTGCAGAGGTTCAGCGTTTAGTTGTTTTTCACAGTTGAGGGACTTATTTGCAGGTGTGCACTGTGTGCATTTACGAGGGAGCCATCCAGAGAGGTGTAGGATGTACTTCAGCAACAGAGAGGCAGAGGTGGGAGGGTGCCATATCAAAGAGCTGCGAAGGCCTGGAGTCGTAGCCAAGTGCAAATCCCTGCAGAGGGAGAGTCTCTGAGTGGCAGCTTTCAATTACAAAGGTATGAGTAAGGGTGCGCGCACCACCTGTCAACGTGCCTGGGCTTCACTGGCAGTTCAGTGTTTCAGAATCGAAAGTATAACATGGGCACACATACAAACACACGCACGAAAAGCCCACAAAGCCGCTCTGAAGCAAATAAAAAATCTCTCTTCGTGTCTGTCTCATGTCTGGGTTTTCAGGCCTCTGACCTGAACCCTTCAGACTCTAGAAAGTCCCAAAGGGACTAGAGGCTGATACTGTCCAAAAAGGGGTCTGTACTGTAAATTGTGTTTCTGATTATTTTACCCTGAGGGTTATATACCTAAACATGGTTTTAAATTACATATGTTATTGTTTTTTTATTTTATTTAGTAGAATTTAAGGGGAAAAATATTTTAATAATGAATAAGTATGAAATGATAGGAAATTCAATATAGTCATGAACTTCCCCTCACAACCTTGGGCAAAAACTAATATTTTAAGGGAGCCTGTACTGGAAACGTAATGGTTTATTTTTCATCTTACCCATCTTTTTGGTTTATCGACTCTTGTTTTGGAGTTAACCTTCCATCGTGACACAAAAATCCATGGCGATGCAATGTACAGCTATCTTTCCTTTTATTATTCAATAAAAGTTATGATTAGATTAGAACTTGAATTGCATAGATAGGAAAAAAAATGGTTTAGCCGTAGCACCTCTTAGCAAATGCCTCAAACTTGGAATCTCAAAACGAAAACAGCAGCAAACACAAGGTGGCAGTAGACATGCACCGTTTCCTGCTGCATCCTGGTGAGTGACTCATCGAAGCTGAGGAGCTGCAGTCTCTCAGACAGACAGAGGAGATAAAAACAGCCATGCCTGCTGTGTTGATCTGAGTCTCAGAGCTGCAGCTCCTCTTCTAACCTTTCAGAATGAAAAGCACACCATGGCTGCAGAGGCATCCAGATTTCCTTGTTAAATATAAATAGGGGGAGATCATGGGACAAAGCATTTCTAATAGAGGAGACATAGAGGTCTGACACGCTGTCATGTGCTAAATCAGTCGAGTAGTCTGCGGCTTTGTTCAGACACTTTTTAGCTTGGCCTTTCTTCAAACCCCGCATCAAAGAAATCAATGATCTGATTTTGACTGACTGGCGAGAAGAGCGCTGGTCAAGCCTGCAATCCGCAGCTAAATCTGGCACTTTGAAAGACGGAAGAAATGCCTCTTAACGCTACTGAGCAAACTCTCTTGCTGTGAGGTGGCTCATGAAGCATCGTTATGTAAGGCTGCACAGGCAGCCGGGGATGGGGGAGAGTTTTGTTACTGAGGCACTTTCTCAACTATTCTCCACTCTATGGCAGACATAAAGCGACATATGGATTTTTATAGGATAGCGAAACATTATTGTGTCACATCGGTGACCTAATTAACTCATACCGGGGGTAAAGCCTTTACCTTTTAAAGAAACACATACATGGTCCTAACTGAAAAAATATACAATTGTTCCTTTAGTTGAGGGGTCTCGTGTAATACAAAGGCTTATCCTCGTGTGTCAAACAACTATTGTGCAGTCAATACACTGGTATGCAGTCCTTGTGTGCCAATACCACATGGAGGGATGTTTGGTTGGTGTGTGTATGCGGGGCCCCCCCATGGGCTGTGGGACAGCTTGGTGAAACGACTGTGTGCTGGCCAAAGCCTGCAGGGGCAAAGCTAATCCGGATTCCTGATGTCAATCTGAGTATTGAACTCCCGCGCCGGGGGGGGGGGAAAGGCTGTGCCCGACACCTGATGGCGTGGAGGTCAAAAAAGTGTGTAGGAGCGTGCGAGCGATGCGGCTCCTGCCCTTTCCAAATGTCACAGAAGGGCCAACTCCTGAGGCGCCGGGGGCCCACGTTGACGCGTGCCCACGTTGACGCGTGTGCCATGATAATCCTCACTTTTAAGCCTTTCAAACATGGCGTCGCCTCTGATGTTCGCACGCGTTTGCGGACAACAAAGCTCGCTGTCTGTCGGGGTGCAGCTTTCTCTCTTCTGCCTCCCGTTCCGCAGTCTCTCGCTGCCTCTTTTAATACCCGCCGTCCACAGCGGTTCGCAGCCCTCTCACAGGCTCTTCAAAGCAACAGCTGCTCACCACAACCTTTTGTAAATAGATTTCGATACACATTCTTTTCCCCCTAATGGTATATCTTCATCTTTATTTATGAACAGCTTCCCAAGTTTAAGGAAAGTCAAAATACTAGCTAGCCGCCAGCGGACGAGCGTCGCTTAATTAGGGGAGTGATGGCCTAGTGTTTCTTATCCCACTGCTTTTCGCTTATAATATCGCTTTCCAAGGCTTTGTGCAATGGAAAGAAACCTGCTATGAAATAATCAGTTAACACATGTGAAAAACATAATCAAATGCATTAACACTTTACCGGCCAGCCTTCACAATTCTACATTTATACCCATGTGTATTCCTTTTCCCCAGCGACGAGTGAGGGTGAAAACAAAACGGAGTGCTGCACAATGCCAGATCCAGGCAAGCACTGTCCACCCACAGTCTATCACCAGGTTAGTCTAATCTGGTCCTTACGGCTTTGAAAAAAAAAGAAAAACGGGGAATAACTGATCCAAATAAAACAAATAGCAAATTTACGATTTAGCAATTTATGTTTCAAACTTTGCATTCTGGTGATTTTTTCCTTCCCTTTTCCACCATCCATTTTGTCAGCTGGGAGAGAAAAAAAAGTTGATACACTCCTTCGGTGCTTTTTTCTCCTTTTTTTCTCCTCCCATGCTGGTTTGCCTGGTGTCTATTGAAGGGAGTTGTTTGTGTCACAAACACTCATTAGGCTTTCCAGAATTACACCCGTATTACAAAATTGATTTTCCCTTTTATCCAGCACACAGAAATACAGCCTTCACAAAAATCCCAGCCCCGGATAATAGAGCGATTCGAGTCATGCAGCAGCTCAGGTTCTGCGTCTCAAACTGAGAGGCACCTGAGGTGTGTTTGTAAGGTATTACTTACAGCGAGCGCATTACAGTGTGTGTCTTCCGCACATTCTGATGAGAGAAGGTGCGTATTTGGTGCTTTTAGATTCAAACTCTGTGTGATGCTGGGCGCGCTAGTGGCACTGATGGTGGGGGGTCGCAAAAATAAAGCCAAAGAGCAGTGTGCAAAACAGTTTCCGTGATAATGTTAAAGCTTTACTCATGGGCTGAGGCCATAATGATGTTGTTTGACTTCTCTCAAACTGGAAAAAAGAAGAAAAAAGGAAGGCATTATTACTGCAACAAAACTCCCACTACATGGGCACATTTGTATTGAAGGCACTGCCACTAAGGTTTACCAGGGGAATAAATTATCTTTAGGTTTTTCCACAGTCGAACGAGCACCTATCATAAATGCACCAAGGGTTTGTATGGAAATGTTTAAAGGGTATCATCTTCAAAAGAAATAGCTCACACCTTTTTCATAAAAGAAATCATAGCTTTCCAAATTCCACATTTTTTTCCTCCATATTCCAGATTGTGGGAATTCAGTTTAAATTATAATAGTGATGATTGTTCTGTTATACTCGTCAAATTCACACAATAATTGTCATAATTGTGTATTGAGTCTGAATTTGATCGAAAAGAGAGAAGAGAGGATATTAAAAGGAAACTATGTTCACCTGGGGCTGACTGTTGGACTGTTTAAGCAATGATATGTTTGCCCTTTTCGATCAACCTCATGATCTCATCGGCTCTATAGTTTGAGTTATATGCTGTAGTCTATGTTTCATAATCATGTTGTGTAACCTGGCTGTGTTCCACCTGCCACATAAGGATGTGTCGAAGTACTCCACGCTTGCCCTAATCAAACCTAAATGTGAAAGGTGGATGAGGAAAATGCATGAACAATATAGAACCTTACAAAAACAGGTTGAGATTACCATTTCTGTTGTGATTTCAGGTCCTCAGTTAGACCGAGATCGTTATCTGCAGTGTTACAGCACTACAATGATTGGTGACTATATACATGTAAAATTGCCAAATTTCCACTAAAGCCACTCGCATGTCCGGGTTTATTTCTGTTCTAGGTCAATCGTGTTTATTTGTGTTCCTCTCATGTTCCAGTTTGGATTGTTGTGGCTTTTCCACTCAACCAACTGGACTCTGAAGTAACACATGTCGTGGGAACACATAGGGTCAGCCATTTGCTTGAGTGATCGTGTGTATGCCTGTGTTTGTGTGTGTCCATAAATATTCGCCTGTGTGTATAACTGTGAGGCAAATTTTTCTTTTTCAGGAATTCCCCAGATATGAGTTGGCACACATTAATTTCCCAGCCTCTCTCATAATCCTCTTCCGATTTCATAAGTGTTTCCCAGACCAGAGTGGGAAACCAATTGGACGAAGTATAATCTGATACAAATACTTCAAATTTTTATCCCCTTTCATCATCCTGACTAATGAGGCAAGCATGCTAGCTTAACGGGCTGTGTGATGGATAAAAAGACCACACACTTTGAAAACTATGGAGAGCCATCAGCACTTTTACTGCTGATGCATTTGTCAACAACTGTTCTTAAAGTAGAAAAGGATTACAAAACACTGATAATGTACCAAAGTCACCATAGAGTCTGTGTTCTAAGTTCGGATTCAATTATCATTGGCAAAACTCAATATTCCGTCAGCCCGTAACGTACAAAAAATGGAGAATATGTCTGTTTATTTTTACATCTAAATTAGAAAATGAATTCTCGTTATTTTTTGCCACTGAAATCTTTGATTTGTTTCCCCACGCTCTCATTCCATTCATCAGTTGCAGATCATCAACGGCATTGTCGAACAACAATGATTACAAGGTGCGCAGAACGTTGACCAGGAGTACACAATGCACAAATTATCTTGGATCCCGTAGAGTACCTTCTTTGGAGACGTAGGCAGATTTATATTTCAGAAGAACAGAAAAAAACAAATAGCATTTTCAAGGATAATAATGCTTTCAACAAGTGGAACCAGCAACTAATCTTTTGTCTCTCATTAGCTTGTTTATTTTATAGATTTTGATAGATAGATAGATAGATAGATAGATAGATAGATAGATAGATAGAT